AAAGCCCGTACGTTTGAGTGTGGGTGTGTCTATAGATTACGACCTGCCCACTTTACTCTGATAGGCTGTGCCCTGTTTGGATCATCAACAGAGTTTCAGTGAGAGGCCTCTAAATATCACCGGATCCTCTGAATTACGAGGTCACCAAGTCCAAAATGGTTACTTTACAGTAGAAAAAAAATTTCTTGACTTTGAATGGAAGTCAATGTAACTGGAAATTTTTCAAGCAATTTTTGAGCTTTTCTATTGATCCATTATCATGAAATCTTGGCATGCTGTAAAAGGCAGCCAGCTTTTTAAAATACTGTATAAAAGAACAAAACGACAAAATTATAGAGATATAAGGTTTTGTTCCGATAACAGCGACGTGTGTGTGTTTATGTAAATTAATCAATTTTGCATGAGACGCTTGTCTGCTTTGACAGTTGACCGGTAGTCAGTCTGGCCAGATTTGGATTTCACTATAGCGCCCCCTGCTGTAAAGCTCGGAATGCAGCTTGCGCTTGTGATGCACTGCGTTACGAACTGCGTTATGGCATTTTTGAACAGAACAACATGCAAAAGCATTTCTGTGTAACTCAAAACGTCTGTGTTCTTCTCCTTGTGTGAAATATGTATCTTTAATCAACAATTACTCTCCAACACTGTTATATTCCAACACTAGCTACTCAAACTGCAGCATGAAACTGCCAAAGCCTCTAAACTATCACACTGGACAAAGCTTGCTGGTTTCTGTGGGGTCTTTTGGTGAGCTTGCCAGTTAAGGGGGGCTTACATCTCCCCGTTGCAAACAATAGAAATCAGCTATGCTAGATAGCTATCGTTTCAATACGTGGAGGCAGAGAGCTCGCGATTTATTATTAACTAGCAAGCATGGTGCTATGGTGCTACAAACTAGGGCTGGGCAATGTGACAATATATATCATTATTGTGATAAATTATGTCACAATACAATACAGTATGCTCTTCTGAACATATTGTGTACATCGTCAGCACTTGTAGACACTAATCAACTGCATGTTTCATTATAAAGAGAGCAAAATTAGTCCAGTTTACCTGGATTTAGTGCCAAAAGCTGAATAAAAATACGTTTTTGATAGTATTTTTAAAAAAAAAAAAACTTCTCTCTTCCAGCTGATCAGATGTCTGAAATCGTGAACATTTCTTAAAAGTATCGCAATATTATTTTTTTTTGCCATATCACCCACCTCTACTACAAACATGGTAAAAAAACAAACGAAAAAACAGGAATGTTTTTAAGTCATGCTTATTTTGATCAGTGAAATCATACCGACACCGATAACAGGAGACGGCAAAACAAAAGCATCTCCCTTGAAAATCAACAGGAAAAAGGCTCCTTGAACAACTGTTCACATTCTGATTCTTTGATGCCCCTCATAATTCAGAGAATGCAGCGATAACGGTGCGTACGATGAAATGTATCTAGTTTAGAATGTGTTTGCGGTGATTTTTTTTGAGATAATTATCTTAGAGCAGGAACTCCCTACAGGGGCGCATCACCAACTACAGGACGGCGCATGTTTACTGTACTGAAATTGTTCCTTTTCATGAACCAAGACTTTACACAGCATCCTCTAGACTACAGACACATATCATGAACTAAAATAAAAGAAACAAACAAAAACAAAAATCACGCTCAGCGCAAATGACCGGTCAGATACAGATTGTCCTTTTTCCATTCATTTGAGCAGACCAGTAATATAGAGGATATTTAAAAGAAAAGAAATTAAAGGATGGATTTTTACATTCGCAAACACGGCTCAACACATGAAAGACAAAGATAATAAAGATTTCTTCTTAATAGTTATATGACTGATATACATATATCTGTATTTATATATATGGATACTCATTTCATACATTCATTCTCTAACACTCTATTCATATTCACATATTATCTTAACCATATATGAAATATGTCTTTAAAGCAATTTGTCATCATGTTTACTACGAGGGCGGGAATGCAAGACATTAAGACTGTTTGTTTTTTTTTGTTTTTTTTACACAGGGAGTACAGATCACTTCAGGGGAATCAGATATTGCAGATATACATCAATTTACATTTACAATTCTGGACCAACGTACAACATCAATAGAGTTTATTTACAGAGAGATGGATGGAGGGATGGATGGAGGAGGTGATGGAAGGCATGATGGTGATAAACGCTGATGAAATGACTGCGTGGAAAACGCTTTCATTCAGAAATCACAATGATTCCAAGTCCTTGGGACTCACTCGTAAAGATTAAAGACTCTAGACTAACTGCACTGTTATTCCTACAATTATTGTGATTATTAAATTCATTCTGCTCTCAGATGTTTGTGGACATGGATTTTCAAAATGTTTTAAAAACAAATGGCTGTGTTTTCTTTGTCAGCTTTGGATAAATATTAATGCTTAAGCAGGTTTTATAATATCACGTGTAAATATTTGACAATAACGTTCAAAAATAAGAAAGAATGTAGAACATAGAGCTGAATAATTCTTAATTATGATTAGAAACATTTACACGTGATATTTTCTTCTAAATAAACCTGTTTATCCTTTATTACATTAAAGGGCCCATTTTTCTATTATTTCATCGTTTTTTTCCTTGTTTTATGTAGCAACAGCATTTTATTACCATTTTCAGAGCTCTCTTTATGCCTTAGAATTAAACAAGCTGTTTTTACTGCGCCTTTAAGACTTTATAACAACTGGGGTTGTTATAACATCAGTATGAATGGGCAGGGCTGAACTGCTGTAGGCTGAATGGGTGAAGCTACACTGCTGTAGGCTGAATGGGTGGAGCTAAACTGCTGGAAGCTGAATGGGTGGGGCTAAACTGCTGTAGGGTGAAATGGGCGGGGCTAAACTAAAGTTAGATCTAACATCTGGCAACCATACGAATAGTGTTTCTCCAGAATATCCTGTCTTCTGTTTGGGTTTTTAAGCTGTTAAAGCCTGAAGCTAACAGTGGACCCTGTTTCTGTAGACGTTTTTGGCTCAGATTGCGCTCACCTCTACATTGTAAACAAAAACACCTTAAACCTTTCAAAAACAGAATCATTTGTTGGCACGTTTTGCTCTCCACCAAAAAAAACTCATCACTTTACACCAAAACAACTCAGACAGGTCTAGAGAAACTAAACCACCAATTGCATGTGTGACCATCCAGCAAGGGGCGCCATTCAGGGATGAGCAACGAAAGGCGCAAATAAAATGATGCTTGTGGAAAAACACGAACAGATGAAAATTTAAAAAAGCGAACTAATGAAGAAAAGTCCGAAAGGGAGAGACATGATACAGAATAGAAGTGGAATACGTTTATGGAGGAGAGGAAAAGAGCAGAGGATGGATAGCAGAGGAAAGCCAAGCAGATGGAAGAATGAATGGACGTTTGGATGGAAGGATGGACGAACAGTAAAAGAGAGGAGAGTGAAAGCAGAGTTTTGCAGACTGCGCGGCTCTACAGGTCGATGAGCTGGTCCACCAGCAGCAGTGAACGGGCCAGGCTCGGCAAACTGGACTCAGAACCGCCGCTGGAGCTGTGGGAGGAGCCTCCTAAGATGGAGAACCATAAAGCGGGCACCAGGGGGCGCAAGAGCACAGGGAGATTCAGGAGGGCGGGGAAGAGATAGAGAGAAGTGAAGGTAGAAAGGAAGACAGAAAAGAAAGTAAGCAGTATTTTGATAAAGGAATAATGATAATTACCGAAATTAAACATTTTTTCTATATTGATAACACACCTTATATTTTATTCCTAAAGTGATTAATACGGAATCAGCCGCAAAGGCTTGAACTTGTGTCTTCAGTACACACTGTATTTTACTCTCTAGATGGGGAAGAAGTCTAGTTGTTCACTCACAACAATAAAAATCAGTGGGGCCGCTAGCAGAGTTAGCTGGCTATTTTAAAAAAGTAATTTTCAGGACAAATTCCCAGAACAAAAGGCAAATATGAACAAAAGGAAAAATGCAGAAATTCAGTTTTCTTAAAACAGCACCTTTAAAACAACACTATATAGAATTTGGGGATTTGGCAACCTCTCTGGTGGACATATGTAATTGCGCGGAACGTGAGCATATTGCAACGTTGGTTGTGCTTCGGACCCCCACAAGCAGATGAATTTGACTTTTGCAAGCAAGTTAAAAGAGAATTTGAAGAGAACTCAGTCTAAACTTGGAGAAGAATGCATCTTCTGAGGATGTGAGTGAATTATCTACTATTGTCATCATATCTTTATCAGTATAAATGTTGATTTTGAGATCATTTGAGGCCTTAACATCAAGCCAGACTTTCTTTTTGAGTCTGTGTGTGACGTTGACATGTAAAGATGTTTGACATGGTGTAAAAAACTTGATGCCTCTGGCTTTTAAATGATTATTTCAGACTTTAGAGGGTGACTCACAGCAGCGCACACTCTTTCTCCTCACTCAGTAGCTACACTTTCAGTTGTAACACTGAAAGATCTCATATAGTGCAGCTTTAATTTCAAGATTCAAAATACTGCTTAGAAATGCATTTAATTATTTATAGACACTGACATAAAATTGGCCAGATATATTGCACAGCCCTAGTAAACATAAGAGAACAGGCCTGTAATCACTGCTGTGTTATCTTATGAAGAAAGAATTTAATTTTTATATCCTGCTAATTGAACAACCAGGAACTCAATGACTATTAAATTGAATAAGGGTGGAGGCCTCTGGGAGGGGGGTAATCTAAGAAGCACTTTCAGCCCCCCTGCCCCACCCCATCATAACGCAAAAGTATAACAAAACTGAAAAAAAAAGGAAAACACATTAATTCCGAAATATCAACGGCCTTATGAAAATAGAGTTTCACCGAACAACAAGCAATCACACCTTTAGAGGGCGGTGGTGAGTGACTTGTGTTGATGGCTATTTTTAGAATGACCTTGCGTAGAGTTCGCAAAGCTAACGTTAGCTAGTGAGGGAGATGAAGCATCTTTAGCATGTGCGTCAGATGTGTTTACCTTGGGAGGTTTTGGAGACCAGCACTGGAATCGGATCAAACTCATCATCAGCACTCTTCTCGGAGCTTGCGGGATCGAAGCCGGAGATCAAACAAGACGAGTCTGGACACGCAAAATAAGAAAGCAGAGGACGAAGTGTTTGAGGTGAACAAACAGAGATGTTGGTGAAAGGCACGGAAAATTGGGAGGGGAGAAAAAGGGTGTGGTTAGCAGGAATCATCCACATCTACACAAAAAACTGCAGACACAGGACTGAGAGTTAATTCAGTAATCATTCAGTACTCAAAGGTGCAGTATACGATTATAATCCAATATACTTTTTGTCAAATTCAGCAAATGTCTCCTCACAGTCCTCAAGCTCTCCGTTCTAAGAGCTCTCTGAAAAGAATCTGGTGTTGGTACACAGCCCTGGCTCTGCAAACAGGAAACAAAGCATCTCAGACCGAAAGACACAACACTATTCCAGCCAATCAGCAATACTCGTTGCTGGTGCACTCGTACTGGTGCACAGGACAGGGGGGAGGGGCTACATGCTGAACTCCACACATCGTCAAGAAGATGGCCGAGTTGAGTTGAAAGGCATGAAAAGGGATGAGGAGGTTGCTCTCTCTGCTTGACAGGTGGACAACATCAACTTATTGTTGCTGTTTTAGAACCAATAGGTCAGTATTGATTAGTCATGTTTGCCAATGTTTGTGATAACAGCTGGTCAGCTTCACAGCAGCAACTAGCAACAGTGTGCTAACCCACAGCATAGCTAACGTTAGCTACATTACTTGCTATGTGGTTGTTTGCTGTAACATTATATCATGGTGTTTGTACAATGTACAAGAGTTTTATGGCTAAGAAGTTTGCTAGTGCAGTGTCATTTGTCCATGAATTTGGGGGCGGAGCTTCTGAAAGATCCCTGAAAGGAAGGGTGTATTTGTTTTGCTATTGAGTTCAAATATCAACAATTGTTCCCCAAAATCGTATACTGCACCTTTAAAGCAATAATTTGACAAAAATATAATATTTATAGAACCCCTCCACTCCTTACAGTGAATGTAATTGGTAAGCCAAGAAATGTCTGGTGTCTGAAGTTGGAAAAAGGAGAAAAAAGAAGCTTCAAGATGTTTCTTTAGTTATGTGATGTACTTTAGAACAATATTTGACAGTGTCAGAAATCACGTCTAAGTCTAGAGATTACTTCAACTTAGCCTGATATTAAAACTAATCATTTTTTTACCTTGTTATTCCTCGTCATATTAAGCACAATTTATCAAATCACACGGTTTAACAGACTAAGTAACATTTTATATCACAGTTTTAGATGCTTTTAGATGCAACCTAGTTTTTAGGTTAAAGGTACAATTTGTAATATATTTACTGTACTAAATCATAAAATAACCATGATGTGTGATCAGAGATTAAGGAAACACGCTAAGTTGAAATACTAGCTTCTCTGACAGCGGCGGTACAGTCAGGAGGTTCTCATTTGAAACTTCTGTTCCGGGGCGGAAAGTCTGTTTGTGTTTTGGTCTGTGGTCCTGCCCACTGTCCATTTCCCAGTTCTGTTTCAACACCCCGGGTTGCCAGATAGGACAAAAATTGGCAAACACAGCATGCTGCAGACACTGAAGCAAGCAAATGTTTAGGTTTACGTAAGGTTAGCTAACCTTGATTAAAGGGTTCTTTCCATGGTGAAATCATTTTTCAGATTGATGGAGAATGTGTTGTATGCGGTTCTATGTAGCACCAAAAAGTGTTCTGCAATTTTTTTTAGATGCAATCTTGTAACAATAGAACATTTTTTAAAACCATTTTCAAAAAGATTCTCTATATAAACCCATGTACAAATTCTATATATAGCATTATAAAGGGTTTTGCAATTTTTATGATGTCCAGCTTGTAATAACAGAAGAACCCTTTTTGGTGCTACATGGAAACATTTTCAAAAATGTTCTACGGTAGAACCATGTACAAATATGATAGAGAATGTGCTGTAGATGTACCTTTTTGAAAAGGGTTCCTTTTTACTGGAGCAAGAATGTCAAGGGTTTCCTGTAATCTAGCACTTAGATCGGAGACTAGATCATTACAGGATGGAGTCAGATCTGAGATCAGATCACCAAAAAGGGTTTTTCCATTGTTCCATCGAAACAGTAAAGACAAGGTTCTATACAGAACCATTTACAACACATCCTCCATCAATCTGAAGAACACTTTAATCATGTTTTGATCGCATCAATAAGTGTTCATGGTTCTATATAGAACTATTTTCTTTACTAAAGAACCCTTGAAGAACCATCTTTTTTTTTTTTAAGAGTGCAGGGATGGGCATTTTAAGTCATTTCAACCTTAGAGTACTCATACTCTGTGTCCTGTGCACAGGTGGGTTATTAAGGCAGCAAGTATTTGAGACACAGCTGGTGAAGTGATCTCGACTAGTGCTGGCTAACTGCTATTGTCGCTTGCTAATGTGCTTGTTTGTGTAGGTTCAGTGTCCTCAACCTGAGCTTCAAGTCTGGGAAGGAGGGGGTGGGGCCAGGCAAGACTATTCAATATTTTTAATTTAGTCTGTATTTTACACAGTTGCTGTCTGTATTACATATTGTTTCTTTCACAGTGGCTTATTATTCTGGGACGTCTCTACACATTTTTAACAACCAAACTAAACCTGAAATATTTTTTATTTTGCAAAGCAGTAAAACCTAAACTGAACAATATATAGATAAACTCATGTCAACCTATGTCAAGTCATTTACATGTTGGATTATCTGTGCTTATTTGTGGTATAATGGTTATGCCGAAACTGAGGAGGAATTTCCAACCTGTACACAGCCCACCACTGGTTTCACCTGGTGAGTAGAGCAGAATATGCAAAAGGTAAGCAGCCTCAGCCCCTCCCTCTTACCTGCCATGCTCTGGGCGGAGCCTCCTGAGACAGGTGCAAACTCATCTAGGCAGGGGGCGGAGCCAGAGGGGAGGGGCCCACCCAGAAGAGAGTCTTCACCACTCAGAGCATCTGAGAGGGGGAGCAGTCAGAGTAGAATGGCCAAATAATGATCAATCTTCATCATCATCATCATCACCATCATCCATTTTTCAATGCACCATTTAATGACAGCAGGGTAACAATTAAAAAGTACTAATCTACAAAGCCTCTACATATCACATTCCTATCAAAAGTCTGCAGCTCCATTTTTTTCTATTCCTTTCTTTCTACAGCTGTTATTACAAGACAACTACTGTAATACAATGGTCTATTCTTCTTCTTCATTTTTTATGATGTCGACAATATTGCAACTCCAGAATGTTTGGTCTAATCAGGAATGGTGTGCTGGTATACAGCTTTCTGAGCTGATGTACAGCTTTCATCTTCGCTAAATTATGAATCTGTTTGCTGGTAGCTTTCCCACTCCTCCCTTGCAAACCTTCAATTCTTGGATGTTTGCAGGGTGTCTCTTCCCTATGACAGATTTCAGCAGTCTGCAAAGATTCTCACTGGGGTAGAGATCAGGATTCATTAAAACAGTCCACTTCTTCTTATGCAACCATTCTGTTGTGCTTTTTGATGTGTGCGTTTGGTCTTTATCATGCTGGGGGACTCATGATCCTCGACCCAAACCTGGCTTCCTTACACTAGGCAGCACATTTCGCTGTGAATTGCCTTCACAAGTTTACGATTTCATTGATCCTTCAATCCATTTGAGGCCTCCAATACCTGAGGCAGCAAAGCAGCCCCACAACATTACAGATCCACCACCATGTTTGACTGTAGATAAGTTGTCCTTTTGCTTTAAGCTTCATTTCATTTCATATAAACAAACCGCTAGTCTGCATTGCCAAAAAGCTTAATTTTTGTTTTGTCAGTCCACAAAACATTTGCCCAAAAGGACTGTGGTTTGTCTGGGTATGTTTTGGTAAAGATCAGTCATGCCTTCTTATGTCTTTCTTTTAGCAATGGAGTCTTTCTTAGCCTTCGTCCATGAAGTCCTTCTTGGTTTAGTGAGTGGCATTTGGTATGGGTTGAAACATCACTCCAGATTGCTCCAGGTCTGCCTTTCGCTCTTTGGATGCTTCACACGGTGTTTTTTCCGCAGTTCACACCAACCTATAAAGACTTTTCTCAGTGATTCTCCTCTTTGACCCACGTCCTAGGAGGTTCTTGATAGTTCGATGAGCAATGAACTTCCTAATTACATTACACACTGTTGAAAACAGTGATGGCAAGTCTTTAGACACAGCCTTGTTCCCTTAACTGCTCTTGTGTTTGGAGATAATAGAATTTCTGATGCTAAACCATCATTCATTGGTTAATTCAAGTCATGTGAGCCCTCATTTATCACAGGTGGCTCTAATTTTAATCTAAGACTAATCTAGTCTAATCTGAATTTTCCCCCCTGTAGCTTTTTTAATTTTTTTTTTTTTTAAACCCTTAACCCTGTGCTGAACATGACATGAACATATATTGACCAAAGATGTTTCACCACACATTTCAGTTTTGTAGATATTGTACATTATGTACTTAAAATTCAGGGGTCCCAATAATGGTGACCATCTCCATCATGTGATGCGCATTAAGCTGGGGTTGCTCTAGTCACTCAAAAAGATCTGCAAAACCAGTCAAATAGTGTGAGATGCCCAGTCTGTTTTAATCTGCTTTTTAGCATTTGAGAAATATTGCTAAAGTTCGGCCTTTTCTCTCTCAGAGCGATGCAGAAAAACCTCTTCATAGTTGTTCATGTTCATGTTTGAGTAACGCTTTTCTGTGAGAGCTGTGGCTGTCAAGAGCCACCAAGAGAAAAGAGATGTTATATCCAACAAAAACAGGAGAACCTGATTGTGCAGGGATTGCAGCTGGAACATCCTTCCTTCATTTCAAATCACAAAGAGGTTTAATAGACCGAAGGCAAATCACCGTCATCAGAAAGATCTATTCAACTTCAAACACAAATCACTGGAACGTCAATTTGTGGAGGAAACAAAAAGGTGAAGATGTTTTCCTCTCACTTCGAGTGCTTCTAAACGAGCAGTGAGCTTCAGTGACCGACTGCAGAAGAAAGCTCTGAAACTCTCCACAGTGCTTCCACTCACACGAAGAGAAAAATAACACAGGCACTTGAAATGATTTTGCTCTGAACGCAGACCTGCTAGAGATGAAAGCATCAATGCAGCTAGATTCTGTGAAATCTCTACTGTTCTGGGAAGGCTTTAAACTAGATGTTGGAACATTGCTGTGAAGATTTGATTGAGCATTCGTGAGGTCAGGTACTGATGTTTGATGGTCAGTTCTGGATCACTCCACCTCATCCCAAAGGTATTGGATGGAGCTCCATCACTCCAGAGAACACAGTTCCACTGCTCCACAGCTCAATGCTGGGGACTTTATACCTCTCTAGGCGATGTTTGGCATTGAGCATGGTGACCTTAGGATCATGTGCTGCTCCAGAGATATTCTGGAGCTGTTCCATAGCTGTTCTATTAGTCAGTGCTTTTCTATAAAGATTATACAAACTGTATCACCAATCTGATGACCTTAAAGTAGCTGATCTCAGATCTGACTCCATCCTGTAATGATCTAGCCTCCGATCTAAGTGTTACCCTTGACATTCTTGCTCCAGTAAAAAGGAAGAAAAACTTGCGTACTCTTAAAAATTCATGGATAAATGCAGAAATACGCCAGCTTAAGAGAAATTGTCGTAAATCAGAGCGCTTATGGAGGACAACTAAACTGCAGGTACATTATGATACTCTTAAAGATCAGATCTCAATCTATAATAATCCTATGAAAATTTCCAGACAGTCAAACCTCTCCAGTGTAATTAATAGACACAAAGATAATACCAAAATCCTTTTTTCCACTAAAACCATCATGATGATTTATCTTCTAAAGTCTGTGAAGAGTTCGCAATTCATTTTCAAAATAAAACAGACAATGACATCTTTCTCTGTTATTAACTATCAGGAGCTTACAACTATTTTAAACAAACTAGGTTCGTCCACATGTGATCTTGTCCCTGTTCCTACTTTATTCCTTAAGATGGTTTTTGATTGTGTTCTCAATGATGTGTTAACTATTGTAAATTGTTCTCTGTCAACAGGTGTTTTTCCAGACGCTTTTAAAACAGCCTTGGTGAAGCCTCTGCTTAAAAAGAGTAGCATGGATCCTTCCATACTAAATAATTTTAGAGCAATTTCAAACCTACCTTTTTTAAGTAAAGTCTTAGAGAAAGTTGTTTTCAAGCAACTAAATCTGATATCTAATATCAAACAATTTACATGGGAACTTTCAGTCAGGTTTTCGTTCTAACCAAAGTACTGAGACAGCACTGACTCGCATTATGAATGACCTCAGACTCAGCGCTGATGCACAGAAATCCTTCTATTTTGGTTTTATTAGATCTTAGTGCAGCTTTCGATACTGTTGACCACAAGATTTTAGCCCAGCATCTTGAATGCTGGGTCAGCCTCTTAGGCACAGTTTTAGAATAGTTTAAATCATATTTAAGTAATAGGCAGCTCATGATTTCACTTGGAAATCATTCATCTTGTGGAGTTCCTCAAGGTTCAGTCTTAGGGCCTTTGCTTTTCTCTTAGTACATGCTACTTCTAGGTGATGTCATTAGGAAACATAAATTTTCATAGCTATGCTGATGACACCCAGTTATACATTTCTATTCTCCTTCTGAAGATCAATACTCTGCAGACAGAGTAACCAGCTGTATGTCTGATATTTCTCAGTGGATGTTGCAAAATTTTCTACAATTACATCATGATACTGATTGTACTGATCGTTGGTACAGAAACTCAGAGAAAAAATATTTAAGAAACTTGGTTCTTTAGCTTCATATACTAAACCTGAAGTACGAAACCTGGGTGTGATCTTAGACTCTGAGCTCGGTATTATCCCGCATGTAAACACAGTCACTAAAATAGCTTTTTAGCATTTGAGAAATATTGCTAAAGTTCGGCCTTTTCTCTCTCAGAGTGATGCAGAAAAACTTGTTCATCCATTTGTTACAAGCAGACTACTGTAATTCTCTTCGTACTGGACTTCCTAAGAAAACTATACATCCCTTACAACTTGTACAAAATGCAGCAGCGCGCATCCTAACAAAAACAAAAAAGAGAGATCACATCACTCCCGTTTTAAAAGAACTGCACTGGCTACCTGTATCATTTAGGATAGATTTTTAAGTTCTGCTACTATTTTTTAAACCTCAAAATGACCTAGCACTTGCTTACATCACAAAGTGTCTGTCTGTTTATGTTCCTGCACGTAATCTAAGATATGCAGATAGTGGCCTTCTACAAATACCCTCTGTAAAATACAGAAAACATGGAGAGGCTTCTTTCGGTTATTACGCTTCTAAACTGTGGAGCTCAATTCCACCTTTTATTAGACAGTCAAGCTCAGTGCTCATTTTTAAGAAGCATCTAAAAACGTATCTCTTTAACTTAGCATTTAATTAAAACTCTACATCTCGTGGTATTTATCTTCTAATTTTATCTGTTTCATTTTCTTCTGATTCTAAATAAATACTAATGATTTCTTGTAGAACTATTTTTATCACCTGTCTGTAAAGCATTTTGAGCTGCCACCGGCATGAAAAGTGCTATATAAATAAAAATTATTATTATTATTATTATTATTATTAACTAATCCCGTCCCAACAGTACTAGGACTGCTTGTTCAGGGAACAGGGAACAGTAGTAACTGTAAGCACTGCTCTCTTTCAGGTCCTTGAGCTTTACCTGCCATCACTGCTGCAGCTGTGTCCATCTGCAATGGGTGAACCTGAGGAGCCTCCAGCCCAGGAATCAACGAGTCCACACATACTTCAGCAACACCTGAGAGAGAGAGAGAGAGAGAGAGAGAGAGAGAGAGAGAGAAAAAGAGAGAGAGAGAGAGAGAAAGAGAGAGAATGTTCATCCAATGAAAAAAAATGTGCATCTGAATTCAGGAAACATCCATGAGTCCATTTATGAGTATGGGTAAGTTTTTAGTACTCGCCGATAATGTGTCTGATACCTACTTAAAATAAAGCAGCTGTTAGTGTAAATGAGTGTAATGTACCTCAACAGCTAAATCATTAAATTTAGCTGATTTTAGATTAACTGCATTAGCTAGCTATGCTACATTGGTTATCTTGGATCATTTTGTTTTCTTCTGTACAGCTGTAAGTAAAGTAGTTTTGATCTTCATCTGTCTCTTTCAGCAGCAGCACAGTGACAGCAGGAATCAAGCAGTCTTGTTGTAGTCTTCTGATTGGCTGGTTGAGATGTAGCTGAATGTCGTCTAAAACCACAAAGACACTGTGTGATTTTAGAAATTTTGTTCTTTGGTGACTCACACTGGATGTTTGAATAGACCATCGTGTTTGGACAAAGCTATGATTTATATACTCACACGGTACAAAAACGTTCCGTCTGACTTACCTGAAAATCACTGTACTGATGTTTATATCTCGCTATTCTGCTCAGTTAAACACAGTCACACAGATTGACTCTGGTAGCAAATGTTTTCACCTCAGTTTTGTTAGCCTGCATGTCTCCACCTGTATTGGGGAAGTGGTTGTTGTTGTTGTGTTTGTGTGTGTTTAAAAAGGGGCTAAAATCACACATTGTACTCCTGGTAGGAATCTGCCAAGGCAGAATGTTTAACCCCTTATAATCCCAGGCTTATTACATGCTAAGGTTGGGCGTTCACTATACAACTTTTAAAATCTTAACAGATTTTTAAAACGAGGAGCATCACAAACTTAATGTTACTTTGTCACTGAGTTTCTTGTGTTTTTGTTGTGAGGGCGCTCACACTAGACGACAAAGCGGAGAGAAAGAATAATGAATTTGGGCTATGAATAAGAACTAAGCGTCCCAGATCTCCTAAGCTAAACTTACTGGACCAGAGCTGTCTCACACTACAAGAACATCCACACCATCAAACGCTTCCGATCGAGCTTCCGACCTGGAGAATCGCTCCAAAATTTATGGCTAGGGGCAAGTCGGGGTTAAACTCAGGCAAAAAATGGTGTAGTGTGGGCCCAGCTTAAAGTTTATTCAGTAACTACAGGGACTTCAGTGAAAACTGGCTGAGTTCTTCTTGGATTATAGAAGTGTGTAACAAAACATTGGGCCATTTAAAGAGTTAAAGTGATCAACAACTTTGCGTCCGACTGTGACGGAGTCAGTAACTCTTCTCTGTGTGAGCAGATTCTCTTTCTCCATGTTTGTTCATTAGCGCAGTAGCTACACTCTGCTTACGTCACACAGTATCAGCTGGTATCGATACATTTTTATGAGTAAATGAGCACAATATTGGCCCAATATCAGTATTGGGTATATCAGTATTTTAGAATTTAATGGGACTTTACATACTGTGGGGATATTTAAAAATATCTGACAGTCATTCAGCTCAGTCACTCAGAACAAGGCGATACGGTGAGATGAATAATATTAACATGCAGAAATACATTCTTGTGTGAATGATCTGCTTCAGACTGTATCTAAGAAGCCAGTGCTCAGAATGTAGAAACTCTATATCGCAGTAAGCTAATAATCACCTCATATTTATAAGGAAATTAAGTTGTTCTGTTCTAAAAGGTGCTACAGTACATTGACTTCACTTTAGTAAAGTCAGAATATCCAATATCTACAAGAATACAGACCCTACACGTGATGAATTTCACCAAGCTCCAGCAAACCATGTGCACATTTTGGGCCTAGACATCAAATCATTAACAGACATAAAAGGAAAACCCACTGAGTTCAGTGTCATGACAGCCCTGCTTGGTGTGATTCCTCTGTTAGCATTCTTTTCATCTTTGAAAGCAGATTTTGTATCTTCAGTCTCTCTTCTCGCTGGGCGATGTATATTAATTACATGGAAATCTGCTCTACCTCCCTCTCACCCATCATAGATTAGAGAAGTCTTTAATGGTGTGAAACTGGCTCCACACAGCTTTCACATTCACCGTACATTAAACTGACCATCTATTAGAGTAAGACATTTTTCATTATTTACATATTCATTTAATTATTCTTTCTTTGTATTTTGTTTTATTAACATTGTTCTAAAAAATAACAAAATTTTATGCGATTTTATTGTTTTACTTTTTGCTTTTACAGTCTTTTAACTATATTTTGTGTTATTTCCAGGCTGTTCATTCATTATTGCATTTTTGTTGTTGCTTCACAGCTACATCAGCCGCCTGCGCCAGTATCTTTCACTATAGTCACGCTTCCAGCTCAGACGCTCTCTTTAGCTCATAATAACAGCGTGACGTTACCCGTGTAGGGCTTTTATGTCAAAGTTCTTCTCAAAGATACAAATGAATAGGCCTTTGTGCCTTTTATAGCCTTCTCCTGCTTCTCCTGCAGTCAGCTTCATGTTCAGATCCTCAGCCAGCTGCTTAGAGGAGCTCATGGTTACTAAATGTAAGTAGGTTTGAAGACTCAGAGGAACTGCCATCAGCTGACCATTCCTAATGACAGTTCTTGACCTACCTAACCAGTCCTAATGAGTTAATTAAGCCATAACAAGGAAATTCTGTTCTGAGACTTTTATGCCCGTAAGGTGCCCAAACGTTTGCACAACCCACAATTACTATTTTTTTTTTTTTTTTTGCGTTTTTTCATTTTTTGACATTTAAGGAAAATGTTACTTTTTAACAGTTTGCTGTTTGTTTTTAACAGCTGTGTAATTTGGCCAGCTGTATCCAGGCTGTATCTGTGCTGTAACCATACTGTAGTGAGTAAGTGGCGAGCATTCTTCTCCTTTACCGTCTCTCGTGTCCTCCACAGAGCTGCCGAAGGGGTCGGCCATGGACAGCAGGTCCGGCAGCATCAGAGAAGCTTCCGGAGATTTCAGCCCCTCTATCAGCTTTTCTGTACACAAACAAATATGAGAAACACCATCATTTCACAGATGAAAATGTGCTCTGTACTAACTTCATCAAAAAAATGCATTCCCTCAGATTACTGAGAAATATGGCACATTTTACTAACTGCAACAGTTTATGGAGATCTATTAATAAATATTACTTAAGGCTACAAATAAGTCCGCACTGATTGAGCCTCATTATTGAAGTACTGATATCAGCGCCACAGCACTAATTTTGGCATTGATCTAACAGTGTAGACTCACCTGGAACTGCCAACAAACCGGAACCAGAACCTCCATCCAAACCCAAAATATCAGAAGGTCTCTCAGCTAGAAGAGAGAGAGAGAGAGAGAGAGAGAGAGAGAGAGAGAGAGAGAGAGAGAGAGAGAGAGAGAGAGAGAACGCACAGTGGAAATGAGTAATTTCCTTAAATGGAAGAATACAATGGAACGAAGAGAATGGAACTGAACTGATCTGAACTGAACTGAACTGAACTGAACTGAACGGAACAAAACTAAAAGAAATGTAACAAAACAGAACGAAATAAAAAGCAAACAAAGCGGAAAGCGGAAAAAAGCTAAACAGAACAAATTAAAACAAAAAAGAAAGGAACGGAACAAAACAAAAAGGAACAGAACAGATCAGAAAGGAACAGAACGGAACCGAAGAAAACAGAAAAGAAAAAATTTTAACAAAAAGGAACGGAACAGCTGGACAAGACAAAGGGGAAAAAAAAAGCAACAGAACAAAACAAAACAAAAAATGAAATAAAAAGGAATAGAACAGAAAAGAACAAAACAAGACCAAAAAAAAAGAGAACAGAACAAAGCAGAATGGAGTGGAACCGAACGAAACTGACCAAAACTAAACAGAATGGAAATTAACAGAACAAAACAGCAGCACAGAAAAAATAGAACAGAGTAACAGGAATGTAACATAACAGAACAGTCCTGCAGAATGAACTGCTGCTGTGGTGTGAACTTATTCATGGAGAACATCTGATTTAGTTTAAGCTGGAACAGGGTTTACAGTGTGAGTGAGTGAGTACCTGTAGACTGAGAGACGGGTTCTACAGCGTCCAGACCAGGGAGAAGCTCCTCTGTGGAGGAACTCAGAGGCTCCGCAGGTTCTACACACACACACACACACACACATACAGAATTCAGTGAGTGAGTTAAAGCCCTCACCAACCTGTTCACTTAACAGATAATGAAAAATAAATGGATGTGAATCTTAAAAAAAGAAAAGGAAGAAGAAAAGAACATTGTCATAAATCTGTGTAACTGTCCTAATTCTACAGGAGAAAGCACTTAAGAGTGAGTTAGGCCTGGCCCCCTGATATTTGGGGGGGCCTTTGTTGTCTGGCTGCTAACTTACTCACCAAAGCGGCGCTGATCCTTCAACAGCAGCAAATTGACTGGTTTAGCAACTGTTCTTCTGTAAATGCTCTGTTTTAGTTCGGTAATGCGCTCTTCCTCACATTAACTGAGATCTTACTCATCATCTTTAGTTTGAGAAATGAGGAACAGTCACTCTTTACACCAAACTCTTGGGAAACTGGGTGTCAATTAAAGACAGGATTTAAATGATTGGCACATCACTGCATGATACCTGTTGTACTACTGCAACCTATGATGAATGAACTTTCAAAAATCTGAGCAGATGAATCACTATGTTGTACAGGGAGATTCACTCGAAAGAGGCACCTAATATTATTAATATAACTCTCGCTAGGACGAAGCAATCTGAACGAAACAACTTGCAATGTGCTCCCCCGTATATGGAGCATTGAACAAGCTGGGATGCCCCTGCATCAGAGCGATGAGGTAGGCGCCGGACAAAAGGCGCGACGTTTAACCTCCGCTTGCAACTTCCGGGTGCATACCCCCTACCCCTTTATGTATCTGGCAGAAAACGGAGATTATCCAGCATCACATGTAATGCAATCGATTACACACACATCAAGGTATGTAGCGTATTTTTTTGGTTCAGATTGCTTCATCCTAACGGGGGTTACAACAGAATATTCTGGGCCTCTTTTGAGTGAATCTCCCTGTATATTTATAGTCCTACTGTCAGGGTCTTTACCGTCGGCCAGTTTGGCGAAGTCTTTGTTCAGAAGCTCCTCAGCGGTTAGTTTGGAGAAGTTGTCGTCTCCGAAGGGGTTCCAGCTCGGCTGGTCGGGGGGACTGCTCAGGCTCGCGGCTGCTGGGGTAGGCTGGGGTGCTGACGGGGCAGTGGGGGCTACAGCACCTCCCTGCTGGCCAGGTTCATACACGCTTTGCTGGGAGGACTGTGGTGAGTTAGACGGGGTGGCGCTCGCTGACCTGCAACAACAGCAGCACAAGCTCAGCGACAGCACTAAAATAAAAACAGCTCCAGAATTTGAGGGTTCCACCTCTGTGCTTTACAGAACCCTCAGTGCAGTCTGCATGGAGCTCTTCTCCAAAACCAAAACTCAGCAACTGAAACAGGAGTGCAGGTATCAGTATATAAAGATGGACAGGCAGCAAATTTATAACTATTTTATCGAATAACAGAACCACTGTGAACAATTCAGACGTGGCAAGTTTCACTAGAATGGAGCATTTCACACCAAACCACTCTGAACGACTCTGTTTATATCTTAACCAGTTAATAACACAGAATTAAAAAAAAAAATTGGTGGAATTTCTCTTTTAAGTACTGACAATATTCACAGTGTAGTTGTATCGCAATAATAAAATAAAATCCATTTAGTATTAAAGCGTTTCTTACTTGGATTTGTTGAGGTTAGCCTCGGCGGTGGCGGCCTGCAGCTGCTGTGTCGACTGGCTCACAGGAACTCCAAACATAGAGCTGTGTGTGACATCACTCTGGATCCGCCTGTGCCCCGCCTTCTGGGCCGTCCTGGGGGAGGAGGGCGGAGTCTGAGAGAGGCCCAGGGTCGCAGGCTGAAGGCAGGGAGGTGAAGAAAGTAAAAAAAGAAAGAAACAAATGTCAAACAGGGTTAATGCCAGACACAGAATAAGCGAGAATGCAGATATGGGTAACAAACCAAATCAATCCAATTAAAAGTGTTAATTAATTATTAAAACACATCCACAAATAGCGTTATGTTTTTTGGGAACAAAATTAATACCGTGTAAGATCAAAATAAGTGAAAGGCCTGCATGATCCTAACCGGTGGAGTGTAAGATTTTAGGTATATAAACATATACAGCCTAAAAACAACACAAAATAACCAACAAATGATAACTTCGCTGGAGATCAATTTGTCAATGCAGTTTGCGCCATGTTTTTAGCTTACACTACTTGTTAGAAACATTAGCCTCGTAGCTCCAGGGGAATTTGATTTCTCACTTTCAGAAAGGATGACTGTTAGATATGGCTTAGTACAGCTAACACTGATCAATAAAATTACGAGTTGATTGCCTTTGATATCAGTCTTTCAGCTCAGATTGGAAATGACACAGCTAGTGTGTGTATGTGAGTTTACCGTGTCCTCAGTGCCGGGCGGTGGCTGGACAGCCGACGGCTGGACGGCTGGAGTGGACACAGCTGGAGTCGGCTGCTGTTGCTGCTGCTGTTGTTGTTGTTGTTGTTGCTGCTGTTGTTGTTGTGCTGTTTGTTTACGCCGGGCGGTGCGTGCAGGAGCAGTGGGAGGAGCTGGGCTTGACGGGGCTACTGCAGCTTTCTGAGGGGCAGGGCTAGTCACTGCTGGAGCTCCACCTCCTGACAAGGCTGCTGAAGCAGTGACTGGCTGCATAGGCTGAAAGACAGACAGACAGACAGCTTTCTGAGGGGCAGGGCTAGTCACTGCTGGAGCTCCGCCTCCTGACACAGCTGCTGAAGCAGTGACTGGCTGCACAGGCTGAAAGACAGACAGGCAGCAGGAGGATAAAGCAACTATTTATACATGAGCAGAGATTTGAGCTCAATCAGCTTCAGTGGGTGAAACCAGCCTACCTGCACCTAATTTACATGTCATTTACATAAGCACACCCTAATTTATGCAGGTTTTCTGTAGGGAGCCAATAAAAAGACAGCATTCTGCAGCTTCTGAGCCAATGTCGGTGCTCGTACGTGGAGTCTGAGGTCAAGCAGGGAGCGCACTGCTCACCCTAACGACCAAACTTTATAATGTTAAAATTACAACTACTGGAAAGAATAAAATGTGAAATAAACAAAATGTTTTTAACTGTGGAATGATGTTATTATTAGTGTGATTATTTTCCTAAATACCCTGTTTAAACACTGTATTATGGCGGCATATGAGATGCTTCTGCACTAGTTGCTTTTTATTTTTTGAGTGGTGTCACTAATATAAAACAAAAGCACAGTGTAACAAATGGGTGAGTGTTAAAGTTTTAAGCTCAAATTTATTCGTAGTCCTACCAGATGTGTTTGATCGTACAGATTTACCAAAGATGAAATTGATGAATAACAAAACCGTTATTTATTTGCATGTAAAATTTGTGACAATCAGATTTGACTGTACACAACTTTGATGAACAGCCACTGTACATTCATTCTCACAAAGGCTAGTTTCAGTCTATAATACTCACTATTAATTAAGTACAGTTCTATATTGTTTAAACCAGATGAGCTTTCAACTTAAATATTAAAAATATACATCAAACTCAATATAATTACTTAAAAGAGACCATGTCACTGACAATTTTTTGATGGATCTGAATAAAAAATGAGCTGTTGTGAATGTATATGGGGGATAAGTATGGAGTTTTCTAATTGTTCTCTCTTATAAACTGTCTAAATTATTTGTAGATTATTATAGTAAAATTGCTGCTCACTCCTGCACCAAGAGAAATTCTTCTTGAACATCTTGTACATCTTGTGCCTGGCAAATAAAAAAAAGACTGCTTCTGGCTTAATTCATATTCAAGCTCTGCAGCAGAGCCTTTCAGGATTCGGAATAAAGTTCCAATCAAAATAACAAACACAGAGCAGAACACTTAATTCCTGTCAGGATCTGAAGGATGTACGTGCTTGTGTCTGTCAAATAAATAACTGGAGACTGAATAACTATTACCTGTAGAAGAAATACAATAAGACCGGGGCTCAGACACGTTTCTCCTGACCCCACGAAGCACCTACTAATGAAGCGTGGGATTAAACCACGAACGGGTGGCTCACCTGTTTGTGCGGGGGCTGGCTTGGGGCGGGCTGTGCAAGCTGAGACTGCAGCGCTGCGGCCGGCTGAGCCAAATTCACACTTACAGCTATAGATAGAGAAAGAGAAAGAGACATTTCTCTTTTTAACCCTAGACAAACATTTAAAGGACCCATATCACAAACAAATTCCTATGTAGCTTTGTCATTGTGAACATTGCTTACATTTCCAAACACCCTCTCCCTTACAATACCTAGAGTACATATACTAAAACTATGTTCACCATGTTGGTCTAGTTCTTAAGTCATCATAGTTACGATGTCACAACTAGGGTTAGGCGATGTCTACCTAACCGGGATATGACAATGTCTACTGCAAAACATTGTGATGGATTATGACACTGGAGGAGCATTTTCCTCTGTATCTAACGTTTTCTATATTCTTCATGTGACTACTGTGTTTGGAGATTATGGCCGAAATATTCAGTTTGGGAACAGAAGTGTCACTCTTTGTTTTAGTGAAGCCAGAGAATGTGTGCTTAATTTTTAGGTTATGTTTCTCTAATTTAATGACTCTGGTGTTTCTGGGACACTATGCTGTTTGCATCTATCAGTACAGTCGAGTGAAGATGAAATTATAGCAAGAACAGCGAGGCTACAAACAGCACAGCACAGAGCTTCAGCAGACACGAGACTGTGGCTTCATAATGACTCAGTGAAAAGGTCCAGCTGTTAGAGTTTAAACCTGTGTCTATTAAACACAATCAGATAAAGAACTGCCAGTTTAACATGACCGTTTGCTCTTAACAGACTCGGTTTCATTTTTTTTTTTACACATTATATTCTCTTTATAACTGGATTCGGTCCTCTCAAGCAGGCTGGAAAGGTAGCAGGAAGCTACCTGCTGGCTAATAGGCTAATGCTACAATAATAAAAGACAGACTTCAAGTTTAAGCCTTTAAAGTATTGCTTAAAAACTGAGACATACAAAGTAAAGAATGTTGCATGATTGTTGTGAGCTAAAAATGTCCATATTTAAACTGGAGCTGACGTCAAAATACCAAATAGCACCAAGCTAACCCCGCTAGCTTGATGCTAACATAGCTAGCTACCATAGTGATTACATGAGGCGCATTATCGTAGCGCTGTTTAACATAGAGATCTGTTTTTAAAACACTGCTGTGAAAAGGAAACACTTTATGGCTCTCTGTCTGTGACTCTCAGTGGAAACACAATTAAAAAGTTTAAATGAAATGACTTTGTCAGCATGAATATTTGGTGTAATGTTAGGCTGTAAACAAGATCCTCTGACTAGGGCTGGGCATACACTACACGACTTTTAAAATCTTAACATTTCTAAAATAGAGCACATCACAAACTTAACATCAGTTTGTCAAAGAATTTCTTGTCTTTTTGTCGTGAGGGCGCTCACACTAGACGACAGGGCAAAGAGAGAGTATAACACACATGAGTTTTAACTACGAATAAGAACGCGAACTCCCAGATCTCCTCAGATCACAAGACACAAACAGAACTGAACTTAGTGGACCTGGTTTTGCTTTTATGTGTAGCGTAAGTGTAAACTGGGGATTAATATGGGCTTGACAATCGCTGATAGAGTGAGAGCTGGAGAAATATTTCATTACAAACTAACAGCTGAGCTGAAGATGTAAAGAGAGTGACCTGACGTCTGGATCCAACATTATAAACATGATATTGGCTCTTATCTGCCTGTTTTACACACAGCTCCTCTGTCCAGGTGGTGTAGATGCACATCTCTTCCCCTTTCTGCTCTTCTGTTTGAATCACTCACTGAGTTCATTTCTGAATGTCTCACACCGCAGGACTCATGAACATTTTGAATTGTAAATATCAAACATTTTTGATAATATCGGAGGGTTTCTGATCACTCCAGAGCTCAATCGGAGGGCTAAAGATTCACTCGTTTCCCCTCTCATAATACAGATCATCCGCACCGTCAGTCACTTCCGATCAAGCTTCCGACCTAGAAAATCGTTTCAGATTGTGAAAATTTGTTGCAAGGGGGAAATCAGGGTCAAATCAGGCAAGAAATCATTTAGTGTGGACCCAGCCTAAAGCCAAAGTCCTTAAAGAAAAGTCTTTCCACTCGGTGGTCATCTTTGCAACGCCGCCGGGCAGTTATTTCCAGTCAAGTCCAGACTCCTCTCTCTTTGAATGGGGAGAGACCAAAATTCGATGAATACAGCCACATGGTTTCCTTACGCAGGACAGATAGATAATTCATTGAAAATTGAATCTGGAAAGAGTGGAATTTTAAAATAGAAAATATGTAGGAAGTGAGAGTTCCACTGATGTGATGTGTTCATTAATTGAGTGATGTTAATTAATTTAAAGTATTTAAACATACAATAAACATACAATACTAGTAGACTTGGAGGGGGGGAATAAAATACAAATACAAATACAAATATGCGCCCTTTAATAGTCCTTGTTGGCTGCCTGTGTTCTGAGTGGTGTGTTAGAGGTGTGAGGTGAGATGAGGGAGGTGAGAGTGAGGGTGGCGTGGGAGGTGCGTGTTGGTACCTGTGGGTTGTAGGAGGTGTGAGAGATGTGCGTGTCTGTGAGGTGTCTGAGTTGGTACCTAGGGGCTGTGTGGCGCTCTGCGCCGGCTGATTGGCTCTCCTGCGGGGCGTTAGTGCAGCAGGCTGTATAGGCAGAACGCCCCCTATAGGCTGAGGCTGGGACTGGCCGGCTTTGGGGCGCTGTCGGGGGGTGATGGAGGTCTCAGTGGTGGGAATGGGGTCTGTTAGCCTGCAGAGGACAAAAATACACATATATAGTGTCAGTGGCCAGCAGTGACGATTTATCTACAGCACTGTGCAAAAGTCAGAGACTCTTTATTTCATTTCCAGTGAAAATGACCATATTTAACAGAAACTCACACAGAAGCCTCAACAGCTAAATCTAATCTCAGCTGTGTGAGTGTTCAGTGTGTCACTCTTTACCTTTCTTACAGCTTCCATTCTTTTCAGGAGACTCACTTTCAGTTCAACAAAGAAATCTGCAGACACACCTCCGAAGTTCAGTCTTAGAAGTTGGTTGATCATTTTCTGAAGTAATCAAACACATTCAGTGATGTTGAGATCTTCTTTGTTTGATGTGTCTGCCTCCTTTTCTCAGTGAGGCTTCTTGACAGCTACACATCCTTTCAGACCCATAGCGCTGAGTTGTCTTCTCACAGTGGAAGGATGAACAGTAACACCTGTTGATGTTTTTGGATCTAAACAGCTTGATTTTCTCCTCTCTCTCAAAGATGAAAGCTTTAAGTGCTGTTTATCCGATGAAGACAGTTTCGGTGTCTACCAGGTCTTGCAGGTGGTTGTTAGGAGCCACATTTTCTCTGCAGCTTTTAATCAGGTTTTGAACTCCACTCTGTCCTTTGACTTTCTCCTTCCTTATGAAAGTGTTCTTATCTTACATGTAATGTCCTCCCAAATATCTCCAGAAAAATCAATTACTTTTACTTAATGGCTGTTTTGACTGGAAATTAAACTGATAGGGGGTCTCTGACTCTCGCACAGTACTGTATTTTATGGCTGTTATAGAAGCTGAAAGTAGCTACCTGGCCTTTGTTTGCATTTGGCTCTTCTTCGCTGCTGCCTCGCTTGCTCTCACTGGCTCAGGAAGCTTAGCAGGGAGTGGGGAGTTCTAGGAGATAAATAAAAACAGGCACTTAACCAGTCTTAAAGTGACAGATTAAAGGCAAAAAAACATTCCACAGAGTTCCCTCCCTTTTGGTTTCAGTTTTTCGACTCTCTCTGTCCTGAAATTGGCTCCGCTTTTAGCCATGTATCCTCAGTTCAGTGCATCACTGATACTGGATTTAGCACTGTATGACTCTAACAGTCATACAGTGCACAGCTAATCGTCTATATTTGCGGTAAAGGGGGGAGACAACTGTGTAAAACTGAATTTTGGGCATATTACTACCACACAGAGAAACCCGCAAAGCACCCAAATGAACCAGATGACCAGAACCAGCAGGGTTGGAGGAGAGAGACTGACCTTCACGTTCTGGACTGGACAGTCGCGTCTGGCCAGTCTGAAAGCAAAGTGGGACACCTGATAGATATCCGGCCTTTTATCAGGATCCGGCTCCAACATATAACCTGATTCACCATCACCACCACAGACATGAGCAGGGAGAGAGGAAGAGAAAGGGGAATAGAAACAGGGAGAGAATCAACCACACCCACAACCAGAGATCAGAAACTGTTATCAGTGAACAGAGTCTACCCTTTTAAAAATGATGGTTATTCAAGGGTTCTTTAGTAGAGAATGGTTCTTTACAGAACCATGAACAGTCATCGAACCCTTTGCATGCTTAAAGGGATCTTTGCATGGTGAAATGATACTTCAGATTGATGAGGAATGTGTTGTAGATGGTTCTATTTAGCAGCAAAAAGGGTTTTGTTATTGTAACAATGACAAGTTTGTAACAACAGCAGAATCCATTTTGGTGCTATATAGAACCATATACAACACATTCTACATCAGTCTGAAGAACTATTTCACCACGAAAAGAACAATTTATGCACGCAAATGGTTCCTTGAGTGTTCACGGTTCTATAAAGAACCATTGTCTTTATCAAAGAACCCCTGAAGAACCATCTTTATTAAGAGAGTGCTTTCAGAATGAATGGATTACAATTCATTGATGTATTTTACACACTTAAGGCCGATTTATGCTTTTGTGTTGAATCACAGCAGATTCTACACTGTTGTGAGGGTTTATATGTGTGTTGGTGTGTCTGTGTCACTCTGCAATTACACCGATTCTATTTGTGTCACTTTTGTGCTCTCATATATGAGTCTTTATCTTCTAAATGGTTGTTTTTTTAAGCATCAGTTAGCTGGAAACGAGCCTGTACTGAGGTGAAATAACACTTACGTTAGCTTAGCCTAGCAGGTTACAGCTTAAAGCACTGCAGAAGGTAGTTAGACTTTAGTTTTCTGCCACTTCAACACCAATTAGCTCACTTTGCTCTCACTATCATAAGTTTTTATTGTCTACACTTGTGATAGGAAAGCACCAGTTAGGTAGAAGGAAAAGCTAGAAATGCGCAGGAAGAAATGCAAAGATACCAAGCAGACCAATCACAGCTGTTGCGGTCTGCGTCCAAAGTCCTTAACGAAAAGTCTGTTCACTCTGCAGTCATTTTTGCAATGCTGCTGGGCAGTTATTTCCAGCCATACAAGACCAGACTCCTCTCTTTAAATGGTGAGAGACCAAAATACTTGAACCATCAAAGCGTTGGCCCTATCATCAGGAGATCATGAGTTCGATCTCCAGTAATGCTACAGCCGTCCGTGGCCGGGAGTCCAAGTAAGTACAGCTGTCCTCTCTGGTGGGCAGGATGGCCCCCCATCTCACCCTGACTCGGGGGAAGCCTGTGTTTGCCTTCACCCTTCTTGCACTGGTGGTATCGTGTGTTTAGGGGAGTCAGAACTAGTGGGTGGAATTGAATATGACTACACTGGAGAGAAAATTGGGAAAAATCCAAAAACAAAAACAAACAAAAAAAACAAACAAACAAAAAAAAGACATTTGAAATCACTGATAAAATCTGACAAAAGCCTCATAAATAGTTTGTAACATTTGGCTTAGTAACACACAAAAATGTGATTTATTTGGTTCTTCTGGCTACTGCACTAGCACAGATATCCACAACCAGGGGGGCTTTCCCTGTTTGGGCCACAATATCATTGGCCCTTCTCCACTCATGGCACAACCAGCAAGCTGACGGATTCTTTTTAATCAAAGCGTGGGGCTTTCTCTGCAAACAGACGTCATGTTGAGAGCTACAAGCGTTCCCATTCATATTTTAACCAGTGACTGCATATATCGACGGTTACAACGTCTCTGCTATGGCACTGGGCACACGGCTATTCTGTACCCACGCTGTACCTACAGCACAGACTTGACGCAGGAGCATAAATTGGCCTTAGGTCAGAGAGTGCAGGTGTATGTCAGGCATGAGTGAGGTTGTTTGAAGATGAGGACCGTGTAGGATTAAGCTCTGTTTCTGGTTTGAACTCACGGATCAGGCAGTGCATGTCGTGTGAGTAGCGCGAGTTGTCTGGGATGGTGAAGTTTCCGTCACAGATCGCCACCTGACTCTCTCCGAACGGCAGCGAGAAATAACACAGCTTATATAGCAGGCAGCCCAGAGCCTGGAGAGAAACACAGACACGACACAATCACCATTTACTCTCTCTCCACTTCCACTCAAACTGACTGAGAGAACTTTCTCCACACAGAGAATTTATTATATATTTAATTGGAATTATTATATATTGAACTGGAAATTCTGTTAGTTTTTACTAACAGCGTAACTGATGCGCCTTCCTTTGGTGACCAATATGATACTAATTTTAATGGCCAAAAATTCTGTTTTAAATTGTATAGATTTGTATTTTGTATTATTTTTATTCTTCAATAGTTTTAGTGTGAATGTGCTTTACTGACTGACATGAATATCAGTCATAATTATAACAATTAATCAATGTAACTATTATACATGGTTATTCGAGAGATTTTTGTAAAGTTTAGTAAAGTAAATGGTTCTTTATAGAATTATGAACACTCAAAAAACCCTGTGCATGCTTAAATTGTTCTTTACATCATGAAAGCGTCTTCAGATTGACGGAGAAAGTGCTGTATATAGTTCTACTTAGAACCTTTTTGAAAATGGCTCTTTATAGCACCAAAAAGGGACCTTCTATCATTACAAGCTTGACATCATCACAAAAGAAGGACCCTATTTGGTGCTGTATAGAACCCTTTTCAAAAAGCTTCTATATAAAACAATTTACTGCACATTTGTTCCCATCAATGTGAAGAACCATTTCACCATGTAAAGAGTGTTCATGGTTCTACGTAGAATCATTTTCTTTACTATAGAACCCTTGAAGAACCATCTTTTTTACGAGTGCGTTACTGGGGCGGGACTACCCGTAATTCTTTGTGGTTTTGGTTTCAATCGATGCTGTAACCAAGAAGTTGCAAATGACTGATCGTTCATCAATACCAATCTGCGTTGTTAATATTGGCATATAGGTTTTATTAGACATTGTGAAGATTTATTTAGATATTGTAAATAATTAATGCCTTATAAAAGAAGAATAGCAATTTTGGCATCCAGGCTCCAACCACTAACATGTTCCTTCATAGCTACTGCTGTAAAGTGTAGAACAAGACTCAGTTTATGTCACAATACCTACATTTAGAGTCAGTTATTCATTCAACCTAATTAGAAACTGTAGATCAGACTCAGTTTATGTCACAATATCTACATTTAGAGTCAGTTATTATCATTCAAAATGATGATGAAAAAGATGAATGTGCAGGTGTGATGATACTGACCCAGATATCTGCTTTGGTGGTGATGAGTTTTCCGTTATATAGATTCACCATCTCCGGAGCACGATAGGAGAGAGTGGTATACCTAAACACACACAGACACAATTCTTATCACATCTCCGAAAGCAGTACATCTAAACACAAGCTTAATCACTAAGGGTGTAACGATACATTCAGCTCACCATTCAATCCAGTTCTCCAAACAGGGGTTCAATATTCTCGCAATATTTTGAACAGAATTTTAATGAAGAAACATGATGACTATTGCTGCACAGCTTCCTAACGAATGTACTGGAGTGAGGTGTTGATTGATGATGGTTAAGAATGAGTCAAAATGTTTGAATATTTGAATGGTCATAAAAGTTTTTAAAATTCAAATAGCAAAAATTAGGTTTGTTAATATGTAAATCAGCTTCTCATTAAAGTAAATGAAAGAGAAAGACTACTACAGCCGTCTAAGGGCTCCTGCACACCACCTAAAGATAGGGCTGGGTGATAAAACGATAACGATAATTATCACAATATAACTTTTCCTCGATAGAACTACAAGAAATGTTCGATACATTTTCGATATAATACACCATTCTCACACTTCCACGTTCTAGCGACAGCCGTGGCGTTGTTCTACTGCAAGGAAAGTGACAATACTCTGCTTTCGCCACGAGAGGGCGCACTTCCGAGTTTTTCGACATGATTGGGGGGCGACGAGTAAAAGAAGTCGGCAAATATACTTTACCAACGTCTAAAACTATATTTTATATTATATATATTCCCCGTTTGAGTGGAGTGATCGGCGATCTGTTCTCCTGTTGACCAAGTGTGAGTGACGAGATAAGTGGTGTACTGAACTGTACTGTCCTACAGTGAACTCACCTCTTTCCATACATCCTAACAAGCTTTGGCAATGTTAAATCACATCTGCTCTTCACAACGACAGCGCAGTTAACTACAGCACTCAGTCATATTTTAGTGTCAGTGCATAAAGCAAACTGAGGAAGCTGTGAGGCATTGGAAAGCGGGAGAGCGCTATTTTTCTAGGCTAGCTGTTTTTAGCAGCTGGCTAACTTGAAGCAGTGCTCCGCCACTCGCACAACACAGCGAATTAATGATACTGTAGATCAAACAGGACAAAAAAAAAGCCCTGTTTTCAGTTTAAATATACCTAAAAGGAGGACTCTGTTTGTCTGGTGCGAGATTCATGCTGCAGTTAATGCTTTTACACAGCGAGCGTCAGATATTTTGTGGTTCACCCCTCAAACTACTATAGAATAAAACAGAGAAATCCAGTCGTCTGCTAGCTGGTGTTTGAATACTGTGGCGATGTGATCCATCACTGACGTACCGAGCCAGTTAATGTTTGCTGTTCGTACTAAGCTGATGTTGTTGAGAAACTAAACAGTTTAGCACTTGTAACCAGGTAGCCTAGCACTCGTCACCAGACAGCTAAAAATAATCCGACTTCTTTCTTAAATTATGACTATTACAAAAATTGCGCCCACGCTTTTCCAGCTGGTAAAAACAGCCAACCAGACACTTTCTCCCACTCTCCCAAGACAGATTTGTCAAATTTTCTTCTGTTTGGCAAGTGTTTGTCATGTTCTGACCATAAATGATAGTTTAAAACAGCAACTGACCACTCAGGAGCAAAATTCAGCCTTCAAACTTGCAAGAAATAATAATTAGACATTTATCGCGATATGTATCGATATCGAACGATATGAAAATTTTTATCGTGATAAGATTGTTGGCCATATCACCCAGCTCTACACAAAGACTACTGCAGTTGTCTGAAGGAAACCGCACACCATCTAAAGACTACTGCAGTCATCTAAAGTAAATTGCACACATCTAAAGACTAGTGCAGCAGTCTAAAGACTGTCTAAAGACTAGTGCAGTCATCTAGACTACTGCACACGGTTTAAAAACTACTGCAGCCACCTAGTGGATTCTACACACTGTCTAAAGACTACTACAGCCGTAAAGGCTACTGCGGCTGTTCAAAGTCTACTGCATCCATCTAAATTCTACTACACATCGTCGAAAGACTGCCACACACAAACACACACCATCTAAAGACTACTGCAGTTGTCTAAAGACTACCACACCATCTAAAGTCTACTGCAGCTGTCTAAAGACAACAACACATCATCTAAAGACAACCACACATTGTCTAAAGACTACCACACATCATCTAAAGACTACTTCTGCAGCCTAAAGCTACAGCACACCTGATGAGCAGCTCTGCACCACAAAGCAGACAGTACAGTACTCAGCTATAGCACATGGAAAAGCTCCCACAAACAACAAATTCAACATCACTTCACTTTCTGCTATATAGATTTACAACCTCATTTCCAAAAAAAGTTGGGACGCTGTGCAAAATGTAAATAAAAACAAAATGCAATGATGTGCAAATCATTTAAACCCTACATTTGATTGAAAATAGTACAAAGACAACATATCAAATCTAGAAACTGAGAAATTTTGAAAATTATTTGCCCATTTTGAATTTGATGCCAACAACATGTTCCAAAAAAGTTGGGATGGGGCAACAAAAGACTGGTAAAGTTGTGTCATGCTAAAAAAAAAAACAAAACAACAACATCTGGTGGTTAATTGACAACAGGTCAGTAACATGATTGTGTATAAAAAGACCATCCCAGAGAGGCTTTCAGAAGTACAGATGAGGGGTTCACCACTCTGCGAAAGACTGCACGGGAAAATAGTGCAACAATTCAAGAATAACATTTCTTAATGTAAAACAGCAAAGAACTTCTGCTTTTTATCATCTATGGTACATAATAAAATTAAATGATTCAGAGAATCTGGAGAAATCTCTGTATGCAAGGGACAAGACCAAAAACCAGTATTTGCTGACTGTGATCTTTGGGTCCTCAGGCAGCACTGCATTAAAAATTTACATGACTCTGTAGTGGAAATCACTGCATGGGCTCAGGAACATCTGAAAACCATTGTCTGTGAAAACAGTTCATCACTGCAACCACAAATGCAAGTTAAAACTCTAAAATGCAAAGAAGAAATCATATATAAACATATATGAAATGAAAAATACGACAAAGGACACCCCGAACTGTTAAGCAGCTGAAATCGTGTATCAAACACGAATGGGAAAACATTTCACTTTCCAAACTACAGCAGTGTCTCCTCAGTTCCCAAACACTTAAAGTGTTGTCAAAAGTAGAGGTGATGAAATACAGTAGTAAACATGCCCCTGTCCCAACTTTTTTGGAATGTGTTGTTGGCATCAAATTACAAATGGGCATATATTTTTCAAAAAACAAAATTTTAGTTTCAACTTTTGATATGCTGTCTTTTTAGTATTTTCCTTTGAAAATGTGGTTTACATGATTTCCACATCATTGCATCACACTTTTTTTTTTACATTCTGCACAGTGTCCCAACTTTTTTTGGAAATGGGGTTGTAACTGAATAAAACCAACTCTTCTCATACTCACTATTTTCCAGCTAAAAGGTATGAGGTGAAATACTATGAGACTAGGCTGGTAATGTTAGCTGAAGTGAAGACACGATTAGAATTAGCCTTTTAAAAACTTTAGAAATTTATGTCGTTTTTCCTCAGGGTAAATTTCAGCCACGTCACCTACTGTGGATTTGTGGTCTGGGTTTAATATAGTACAGATTAGTGACATGGTGAGTGAAGTCATTGTCTCTGGTGGTGGGTCAATTTTTTTTTTTAATAATGCCTTACAAATCTGGAGTTTGAATATCAAATTAAACACCCATATGTAGTGCCGTCTGCAAATTTTTTTGTTCCAACAATGCAACTGCATTCAGTGCCTTTACAGAATATAATTCATGCTTCACAGTGCATACTGTCACAGTTCTGCACTGTAATAGCACATCATCAGGATGCACTGTTACACCCATACTATTAAATCTACTTTAATTTGTTTAACCCTCCTGTTATGTTGCAGGTGAAACCAACCCGTTTCAACATTTAAAAATGTTGAAAAATATTTTTAATAATTTTTTGAGTATGAAACCTTTCTGCTTGACTTATAGCTCATTTAGTGTGATTTGCACACTAAAAAAAACTATTTTTAATGACAAATGAACTATTATAAGTAAACACTTATCTGTAATGGGTGAAAAACTTGATTACACTAAATATTGATGACATTTATATTGATTCAGCAAAAGATAATACTTATGGAGAAAACCTACTTTCGGATAGTTAAACATGCATCAGGTCAATGTGACCCCAGAACATTACTGCTGTTACTTACAGCTGAACGTAACAGGAGGGTTAATATAAAGCTGTTTAGCTGTAGATGCACAGCACCAGAAAGACAGGGAAAGGGAGAGAAAAAGAGAAAGAGAGGAGAAAAAGCAAAGGAAAGGAAAGAAAGAGGAAGGAAACAGAGAAGAAGAAAGGAAAATAAAGGAATAAGCAGGTAAAGGTGACTGTACTTCTTTATTTCCTCCTCCACAACAGTCACTCCCTCACTCTGTGGGTTCTGGAACTTCTTGGTCGCACTGCCGAAATCACACAGTACGTAGTGCCCTCGCTCGTGCAGCAGGATATTCTCCACCTGAAACATCATAAACATCTCAAACAGCAGAATCCACATTAACACAGATCCTACAGAGTTTATAAAGCCTGCAGCTGTCTGAACTGCTCTGTTAGCCTGCTGTTTATCACAATATACATGGCTAGAATATCAAATTTTTCTGATTTTTGGTTAATAATTGTTCTAATTTTTATACTGAATGGAAGTTCCTTAGAGACTTGCTAAATAAATGTTTTTTACAGGAGATTCTGTCCTTGATGAACTTGCTAGAAAAATGGAAAAGACAGATTCATTAGGGGCCACTACCATCCTGCCAAGCACAGGCCTTCACAGAAGGAGTTACTTAAAACTGAGACATATAAACTAAACAATATGTTACTTGAATGCCTGTAGAGCTTAAATGTCTGTATTTAAACTAGAGCTGACATTTAAATCTAAAATCATGCTGAGCTAACCCTGAGGGGTTGGCGCTGAATGAGGAGCATAATTTTACCTTTTTAAAAAATAAAAAATAAAAGACACTTGAGTGAATGAACACGTTTCCACATTAGACATTGCCATGTCTAATGTCATGTTTATTTAGTAGTTTCATGGGACCTGAGAGTGTGAACAAACTTAAATAGGTGAAATGAAAAGACTTTATTAGTGTGAACAGTCGGTGTCAGCTATGAATAGAATCGTCTACCTTAAGGGTTTCACTCGCATGTTCAGGTTTCTGTTGACAGATCATCAATCAACAATAAAGATTATTTACATTTTTAGTTAATCCCACATTTCATACACACTAATCGGCCACTTTGTTAAGTCCACCTCCTTGTTTCTACACACATTGTCCATTTTATCAGCTCCACTGACCATATAGGAGCACTTTGTAGTTCTACTGTTACAGACTGTAGTCCATCTGTTTCTCTGTATACTTTGTTACCCTGTTCTTCATTCTGTAGTAACACTGACGTGGTGGTGGTGTGTTAGTGTGTGTTGCGCTGGTGCGAGTGAATCTGACATAGCAGTGCTGCTGGAGTTTTAAACATTATGTCCACTCACTGTCCACTCTATTAGACACTCCTACCTTGTTAGCCTACCTTGTAGATGTAAAGTCAGAGACGACAGCTCATCTGCTGCTGCACAGTTTGTGTTGGTCAACCTCTAGTCCTTCATCAGTGGCCACAGGACGCTGCCCACAGGACGCTGTTGGCTGAATATTTTTTGGTTCTCAGTCCAGCAGTGACACTGAGGTGTTTAAAAACTCCAGCAGCACTGCTGTTTCTGATCCACTTGCACCAGCGCAACACACACTAACACACCACCACCACGTCAGTGTCACTGCAGTGCTGAGAATGATCCATCACCCAAATTGTACCTGCTCTGTGGGGGTCCTGACCATTGAAGAACAGGGTAACAAAGAATGCAGAGAAACAGATGGACTACAGTCTGTAACTGTAGAGCTACAAAGTGCTCCTATATGGTCAGTGGAGCTTATAAAATGAACAACCAGTGTAGAAACAAGGAGGTGGACTTAATTAAACAGGCGGTCGATGTGTATATCTGTTTATGCTTCACTGGAACTTCTGCCCGTAAGTCACACAAAGCACCATGGGCTGCAGGAATAAGCAGAATAATTTTCTTACTCTCCTTATTCCTGCAGCCCATGGTGCTTTGTGTGACTTACTAGTCTCGCTAACAAGTGGAGTGATTGAATGTGCTACATGTGGCTTGAAGGTGAAGGTACAGTACTGAACTTTCATTGAGTGTTTTTCTGTATTAACATCTTAAGTTGCCAATCATGCTGGCTTGATCAGAACACATGGCTGGTTCAAGACGTCACAGCATAAAAGGAAATTCTCGTTCAGCACTGCCGTCAACTTCTGTCGAAAGTGCTGGCTTGATTCACTACAATAGCTTTTGTTTGGTGTTGATAGAGCAGGTGAAAACAGACCAGATCATTTAAATTTTTTTATGAAAATCATATTTAATCGTGTGTAAAGTAAATGAGACGGTGCTGGCATCACGGCCACAGTTACAGACGCCAGCAAGAAAGTCATACAAGGCTGCAGGACCTGCCACGCTGCCACCAAGTGGACACAAAAGGAACCTCACACCAAATGCAGTCCTGTAATGTAGGCCCACCGTGTCACAGCTGACATAAACAGTTTTGAATAGCAGCAGCTAAAGAGGAAAAAGTGCCAATGGCCACACCTGCTTTTTGTTGTAAATAGCTGTAAAAACAATTTTACCACTATATGTTTACATTTGTGACCTGTGTTTACATTTTCAATCATTAAAATGCTTCATTGAGAATGTTTGTGGTTTTTATAGTAAAAAAAAAAAATTAAACCCAATTTTGTTTTTAGTGATTCTGTCTTTTGTCCCAAATAGAAATGTTTTATTTATTATTAAAAAAAACATGACAAATAGGCAAAATTCCTCTATATGTATGCCACCAATGGTTGTAATGGAGTCGGCCCTACAGAAAATAAGCCACTCCAAAAAGTTTTTCTCTTGGTTAACATCACACATTAGCTAGAGACGAAAGGCTCAATAATAGAGTTAGAGTTAAACAAGAGCTTTAGCTCACTGTTCCTCGCTCAGTGGATGAGAAAGAGTGACCATTTGATGTGGCAACAAAAATGGCAGCCTACTAGTAAAAGGATTGGGGTCTATATGTCTTAACAGCCAGGGTTCCTTTAAGAGGTTCTGTGCTGGTTTAGCTGAGTCTGTTATTGTACCTTTAGGTCTCTATGGATTATAGGTGTTTTGCACTGATGAAGTTGGGCCACAGCTTCACAGGTATCACAGAAGATCTGCAGAACCTCCGCCTCGGAGAACCCGGTCTGCAAACGTTGGTTCATCAGGTTCACCACCTGACCTCCTAAAAAAACAGACATGCAGAAACACAGTCAGCAGGGCTGTAGACTCTGACAGTCTTACTTGAATCTGTGACATTCTGTAAATAGTCTGTTCACGCTCACATAGTACTGAGATGTACGGCCAAAAACGTATATCATGTTTTAATTAAAACCTCGGACATTTACAACGTATACACCGACCAGCCTCTTCATTAAAACTCTCCTTGTGGGGGTCCTGTGGGGGTCCTAACCATTGAAGAACAGGGTAACAAAGTATGCAGAGAAACAGATGGACTACAGTCTGTAACTGTAGAACTACAAAGTGCTCCTATAAGGTCAGTGGAGCTGATAAAATGGACAGTGAGTGTAGAAACAAGGAGGCTGACTTAATGAAGTGGACGGTTGGTGTACACAGATTATTCTACTGAAGTGGTTCAAAATCACAGTTGAAAACACATTTAGACTTTTACCTGATCTTGGACTTTAGACTAAAATCCTTTTGCTTTAAGTGACCCTATACCTTAACCCCTTACATAGTTTGGGCCCACCAGCAGGCCCAAAGTTATATTACATATAAGTTATATTACTTAGTTCTATAATTTTTTATTTTATTAAAACTAATGATTGAACTTTCAATTCTGTCACTACCGAAACTTTACCAAATGTTTCCGTAGTGACTGTTTCGGTAGTGACAATTTTAGCTAATTAACTTTTTAGCCATTCACCTGTAGTGTTAGCCCAGGTGTTAGCCTTAGTTAGTTATTAGAGAAACAGACGTAAGAAACTTACAAACTAATACAGATGTACTATTAAAACAGACTACTGAAGTTTATCAGTCTAATGTGATATAATATCTAATTCATGGAACCAATGCATTAATAATTCAGGTTTAACCTCATTGATCAAGTAGCAACACTGCATCACATCTGAACTGATCTGAAATTTGGATCTACTTCATTCAAAAACAGCCGCTCCCCCTTGCATTGTGTGAAAATTTCATGATGAATCATCCAACAGAACTGCTTCCAAATCACTTGGAAGAAAATCTTATTACATTAATTTACAATGGAAGTTAAAAAGATTTTTCCTTCTCCTATAAACTTACTATTTTTGGGATCTACTGTCCTCATTCTCCAACCGTTCTTAAGAAAAAAAATCTTCTTAAAACCCACCTCAGTTTTCACGAAGATTCTGACATCCACCAACGTTTTCTTATTTAGGATTTGTTCTTAGGTAAGAACAGAATCTACACACACTCAAGAGCACAAAGGTGAGAACAGTTGTGCACTTTAAGAACACGTCATGAATCTGACGTAGACTTTTTCTTAGGACCTTTCTCAAAAACAAATTAAAAGAACAAACTTAGAAAGATACTGGAGAATGAGGCCCAGTGATTTTTCAGTACAGCGATAGAGAAAACAACCCCAGCAGGACCCACACAAATACCCTTATGTTTCTTTCACTAAATGCCACATAACATTTCTGTAGCACATTTCAAAACTGAAACTGAACTGTTTCAGATGAAAAAACCTGAACCAAAACAGAATTCCTCAGGAATGTGTTTGTTCTGCTACTGTAAAACAGTCAGAAGCTTTGTAGAACAGGATAACAGACAAGCGTACAGTCTCTCTTAATCACTTTCACCTTGTGCTCTCTTGCTCTTGTTGTTTTTGAACATGTGACTGTGCTTTGAACAGAAAATCCAACCCTGTTCCCGCAGTGGAAACTTCTGGAAAGGCTAACACGGTCGGGGCAGGGGATCAGAGCACTAACAGAAGGGAAGAGAATTCTTCTGTTTAAACTCTGCTGGTGAAGACAACATCTGTTAGCGAGAACCGGCACAAATGCATGTGGATGGTTTGGCGTGGGAGGAGCTGAGAGGTTTATATCACTTATAAGCACGCACTGAGGGTAACAAGAAATATGTGGGGAGAAAAACGTGATGTAACAATAAAAGAAACCGTGTATGAGGAGTTACTGCCCTCTTGTGGCTCATTTGTGCATGTGCAGCAAAAATCAGCATCATAACAATAACACTGAGATGACCTTGGATATGTTTCTCAAAACAGGATTTCTCCTGTAAAGTAGACACTGGATCTGAGCTCAAAGTCTGGCTAGTCCAACAGGAATCTTCCAGACCTCTGTACCTTATTTTATCTAGGTTAAAGGCCCAGAAAACCTCAATACATAGTTTCTTCCTAAACTGGTTGGTCTTCCTCTTGTGGGCCGTGAGCCTGGGCGACAGGGCAATGTAATCGGATATCATCCATGATGGACAAGCAACCCACTGGCAATGTGTAAAAGGTGATAAGCACCAAGAGAAAGTTAATTACCAAGAGAAAGCTAACCACCACAAGAAAGCTAACCACCAAGAGAAACAAAACACCACAAGAAAGATAACCACCACAAGAAAGCTAACCACCAAGAGAAAGCAAATCACCAGCTGAAAGTTAATCACCAAGATAAATCTGACCACCAAGAGAAACAAACCACCACAAGAAAGCTAATCACCAGCTGAAAGCTAATCACCAAGAGAAAGCTAAACACCACAAGAAAGCCAAACACCACAAGAAAGCTAACCACCAAGCGAGAGCTAACCACCAAGCGAGAGCTACCCACCAAGCGAGAGCTAACCACCAAGCAAGAGCTAACAATCAAACAACGGAGCTATCAAGCTCATCTGTCTGTCTGCTGTCTGTTCATTAGTTCATCTGTTCATACGTTTGTTCAATCAGCCATGCCAGCGTTCCCTGTACGCAGCAGAAAAGTGAATAAGAACCTTCTTCAAGGTTCTGCATATAAAAGCTGGATGATGGTTTTAGTGAGTGGACACAGCACCATCGTTGGCCATGCTGGAATAATGATCAAAAAAAAAAAAATTGGTGATGGATGTTTATTTTTGGACAGTGATCCTGTTAGATCTTCTTTCACTCATTTCGCTGCTTCACTGTGTTTAGTTCTGTTTCAGTGCTGTAGCAGGCTGGGATTGCTGGACTTAGAATAACAGGCAACACCCATACAGCTCTCAGATCAGTCACTGTTTTTTAAGCTGTGTTTTTATTATATTTCTATCTTGTTTTTGCTGGATGCAAAAATACATGCTGAGATTCTTTCTAATCAATGTTATCGGCTAATTGGATGAACACTAACCTCTACAGAAGTCCATGAGGATGAGGACCTCCCACACGTCTCCACTGCCCACCGCTGTCACACTCGAGTCCAGGAAACCCACAATGTTCTTATGGCCGGACAGATCCCTCTAAACACACGTAAACAAAGGATGGGTATTTCAGACACAGCTGTAATTTATGCTCAGATTGCCACCTAATTATCAAATTTGTTAGGTGTTGAATCAGGTAAGAGTACAAGTAAAGAGAACAAGCAAACAGTCAAGTCAAGCCTGAAATAATCTAAAAGTCAGAGAGAGTTTTTCAAACCACATCATATGTCTTTACGTATTAATATCACAGACGTTAATACATATGTATGTATGTGTATGTGTGTATGTGTGTATATATATATATATATATAAAAAATATTTTGCTATGTTTAAACAATATACAGTGGTGTGAAAAAGTGCCCCCTTTCTGATTTCTTATTCTTTTGCATGTTTGTCACACTTAAATGTTTCAGATCACCAAACAAATTTAAATATTAGACAAAGATAACACAAGTAAACACAAAATACAGTTTATAAATGAAGATCTTTATTATTAAGGGAAAAAGAAATCCAAACCTACAGGGCCCTGTGTGAAAAGGTCATGTTCTCAATCAAGAAATCAGGCCAAAAATCCTCAAAAGCTACACACCATGCTGCGATCCAAAGAAATTCAGGAACAAATGAGAAACAAAGTAATTGAGATATATCAGTCTGAGCTAAAAGAACATAAAGGCTCGTCTCAGTTTTGCCAGAAAACATCTTGATGATCCCCAAGACTTTTGGGAGAATACTCTGTGGACTGATGAGACAAAAGTTGAACTTTTTGGAAGGTGTATGTCCCATTATATCTGGTGTAGAAGTAACACAGCATTTCAGAAAAGGAACATCATACCAACGGTAAAATGTGGTGGTGGTAGTGTGATGGTCTGGGGCTGTTTTGCTGCTTCAGGACCTGAAAGACTTGCTGTGGTAAATGGAACCATGAATTCTGCTGTCTACCAAAAAATCCTGAAGGAGAATGTCCGGCCATCTGTTCGTGACCTCAAGCTGAAGAGCACTTGGGTTCTGCAGCAGGACAATGATCCAAAACACACCAGCAAGCCCACCTCTGAATGGCTTAAGAAAAACAAAATTAAGACTTTGGAGAGGCCTAGTCAAAGTATTGACCTGAATCCGATTGAGATGCTGTGGCATGACCTTAAAAAGACGGTTCATGCTCGGAAACCCTCCAATGTGGCTGAATTACAACAATTCTGCAAAGATGAGTGGGCCAAAATTCCTCCACAGTGCTGTAAAAGACTCATTGCCAGTTATCACAAACACTTGATTGCAGTTGCTGCTGCTAAGGGTGGCCCAACCAGTTATTAGGTTTAGGGGGCAATCACTTTTTCACACAGGGTCCTGTAGGTTTGGATTTCTTTTTCCCTTAATAATAAAGATCTTCATTTATAAACTGCATGTTGTGTTTACTTGTGTCATTTTTGTCTAATATTTAAATTAGTTTGGTGATCTGAAACATTTAAGTGTGACAAACATGCAAAAGAATAAGAAATCAAGAAGGGGGCAAACACTTTTTCACACCACTGTATTTAACAGTACTGAACATGTGCACCACATTGAGGCTTACAGTCAGGGTTCCCTTTTTTTCAGGTAGACACAGAAGTGGTTCTGTTATGGCACTGTCTGAGAGAACCTTTTTGGCAGCTTTATATTTCAGAGTAAGTGAAAGTTGAGGTTCAGGTAAGAGGAAAAACGCACTCACCATGATCTGTATCTCGCGGCGACACACCTGCAGATCATGCTCATTATTAACATACATCCGCTTCAGGGCACAGCGAACACCCTGATGAGTCCGGACCAGGAACACGATCGCAAAACCACCTGCAGGACACAAACAAACATCAGAGATTCAAATATACAGATAAAAATCCAGCATAACTAAACAGTCAGGATGTAAACAGAGTCGTTCAGAGCGGTTTGGTGTGAAATGCTCCGTTCTAGAGAAACTTACAGAAGGGTATTACATGAAATGGTTATGAATACACTGTCTGATGTCTGAGACACTGTTTTGCTAAAGTTTGAGAAGATTTTGGCCTTGAAATTCATTCAAGGTGGAGGGATACATGCAGGGTGTTGTGAGGCAAAATAGTCAAAGAAAACCTATTATTTCAGTTTTTCCCATCATCAACGTTCCATATAAAACTTAAAAGACACATATGGGTTCACTGGTGGTTTTGGATTGTAAATGAAACGTCTATATTTGTGTTGTAGTCATGGCGACCCCTGGTTCCTATCACCATCACTGTAAAGAAATCTGAACCATTTTACTACTCTGAATCACTCTGTTTACATCTCACACACTCAATTATGGGGGAATTTGTAAGAAAATATCATTTATGATACAGTGGGCCTCGTTCACCAGTGTTTTAAGTATTCTTGAGAAAGATCCTAAGAAAAAGTCTACGTCAGATTCATGACGTGTTCTTAAAGCACAGAACTGTTCTCACCTTTGTGCTCTTGAGTGTGTTTAGATTCTGGTCTTAACTAAGAACAAACCTCAAATAAGAAAACACTGATGAATGTCAGAATCTTTGTAAAAACTGCGTAAGTGGGTTTAAGAAGAAATTTCATCTTAAGAACGGTTGGTGAATGAACATCTAATGGACATCCACAGAAGTGCAAGTAAAAGGTGAGTGACTGCACAGTGACGTAAATGTGATTAATTGCAGACACTTAGTGAAGTTAGAGACAGTTTAATTAACTCACAGAGGCATCATCATCATCATAACCATCCCCTGCAGTAATCTGCCTCAGGAGAAAAGGCCTTTATTGTAATTCTACACTGAATATCTGCAGAATCTCTTGACCTTGAGTGACCTCATTACTCGGGAGTATATGCAATTAATGTATGCAGTATTGTTTAATTTTGCATTCAGCATTTAGTTTAGTATTTCAGCACATTTGTTTTCCTCAAATGTATTCCTGTATTTAACTCAGTATTACTTCTCATTGTTATCTGTATTATATTTTTATTTCCTTCTTCACCCCGACCAGGCCATGCACACACCGAACAGGCCGTATATGCACCAAACAGGCCGCATTCACCCTGAACCGGCTGTGCATACACACGAACAGGCCGCAGACACCTCGAACAGACTCCCCGAACAGGCCACGTACACCACAAACAGGCCGCAGACACCCCAACAGGCCGCATATACACCGAACAGGCCGCATTCAGCCCGCGCTTGCAGCATACACCACAAACAGGCCACATTCAGCTCGAACAGGCAGCGTACACCACAAACAGGCCGTGTACACCACAATCAGGCCGTGTACACCGCAATCAGGCCGAATTCAGCGCAAACAGGCAGCGTACACCACAAACAGGCCGTGTACACCACAATCAGGCCGTGTACACCACAAACAGGCCGTGTACACCACAAACAGGCCGAATTCAGCCCGAACAGGCAGCGTACACCACAATCAGGCAGCATACACCACAATCAGGCCGTGTACACCACAAACAGGCCGTGTACACCACAATCAGGCCGTGTACACCACAAACAGGCCGTGTACACCACAAACAGGCCGCATTCAGTCCGAACAGGCAGTGTACACCACAAACAGGCAGCATACACCACAAACAGGCCGAATTCAGCCCGAACAGGCAGCAGACACCACAAACAGGCAGCGTACACCACAAACAGGCAGCGTACACCACAAACAGGCAGCGTACACCACAAACAGGCCACATTCAGCCCAAACAGGCAGCGCACACCACAAACAGGCAGTGTACACCACAAACAGGCCGCATTCAGCCCGAACAGGCAGCGTACACCACCAACAGGCAGCGTACACCAAACAGGTCTCATTCAGCCCGAACAGGCCGAGCACGCACCAAACAGTCCGAGCACGCACCGAACAGGCAGCGCACGCCTCACACAGGCCGCGTTCAGCCCAAACAGATTGCGTACACCACACACAGGCCGCGTACACCACACACAGGCCGCGTACACCACACACACGCCGCTAACACCACACAGGCCGCGTACACCACACACAGGCCGCGTACACCACACACACGCCGCTAACACCACACACAGACCGCAAACACCACACACAGGCCCCATACACCCCTAACAGGCTACATACATGCTGAACAGATTGCATATACACCAAAAAGGCCGCACACATACCGAATCGACCATACACACTCAGAACAGATTGCATACATGCCAAATAGACCATATACACAGTAAACAGACTGCATACGTGGCAAACAGACCATATGCGTGCTGAATGGACCACATACAGGTTGCACACACGGCAAACAGGCCATGTACACCACAAACAGGCCGCATTCAGTTCGAACAGGCAGCGTACACCACAAACAGGCCGTGTACACCACAAACAGGCCACATTCAGCCCGAACAGGCAGCGTACACCACAAACAGGCCACATTCAGCCCGAACAGGCAGCGTACACCACAAACAGGCCACATTCAGCCCGAACAGGCAGCGTACACCACAAACAGGCCACATTCAGCCCGAACAGGCAGCGTACACCACAAACAGGCCACATTCAGCCCGAACAGGCAGCGTACACCACAAACAGGCCACATTCAGCCCGAACAGGCAGTGTACACCACAAACAGGCCACATTCAGCCCGAACAGGCAGCGTACACCACAAACAGGCCACATTCAGCCCGAACAGGCAGTGTACACCACAAACAGGCCACATTCAGCCCGAACAGGCAGCGTACACCACAAACAGGCCACATTCAGCCCGAACAGGCAGCGCACACGACAAACAGGCAGCGTACACCACAAACAGGCAGCGTACACCACAAACAGGCAGCGTACACCACAAACAGGCCGAATTCAGCCCGAACAGGCAGCAGACACCACAAACAGGCAGCGTACACCAAACAGGTCTCATTCAGCCCGAACAGGCCGAGCACGCACCAAACATTATTCTTTTCATATTTAACTACATTAACTGAATTTAATATAGCTTAACTTTTTGGCCTACATGAAAGTGACAATAATTCAAACGAATGAAATACAGCACAGGGGCAGTTATTCTGACGCACCACAGCACATAGAAACAACCATGGCAGATTTAATGCTTGCTAATTTAATTTACTTAAACAAAAGTTTGCCTATAATGTGATCATTCATCATAATGTGATCTGTTCTATGAATAAAAACAGAAAGTGTCTATCACGTTTGGAATAATGCACTTCAAGCGAAGAGCTACCGCGGCTGAGGGACAGCGCTGAATGTGTGTTGGACACGTCTGGCCAATACCTGATTTGACTAAAGGGGACTTATTCTACTTTTCCAGATTTTCTCTTTCCTTTAAGGTGGGTTGTATCTTTTTGTGCATGTAAACATTCTGCAAAATCACAAAGCTCAGCGTTCCCTCCAGAGGAAGAAACTCTCTCCCACAGAAACCACTTTTCTCAGCTGCCTGAAACACTTAGTTGGAATTCCAGCCCTTTTCTTTTGTTAAAAGGTGACTCAATCTCGTAACACAGTCCTTACTGCCCGCCTATCGGCGAGCTCGACACACAGCCCCTCACACAGCGCACAGCAGCTCCTGGAGGAAGACAAGTGTGGTCAGTGTTGTAGCTTGTGGAGAAGATGCTGACCCAACTTTCAGAATCCACTCTGGATCAAACTGATACGGCAGAACCGTCGTCGCTGGAGAAACAGGCAAGCGGAGTTTACAGCTGCTCAAGAGAGAAGGGTCTGTCTGCAGACTGAAGAACAAGGGCGGAACATGGAGGGGCGGAACCGCTCCGGAAGCTGACCAATCAGAACAGAGTGAGTGAGCTGACCAATCAGAGCATGCTGGGCTCATCAGGAGGCGGGGCTTAAAGACACAGGAGCTCTAACAGAGTGTTTCAGACAGCAGGTGAATAGAGATGAACAGTGTGATGAACAGTTGAAGCTGTAAATCTGTTCTATTAGACCAAAAATACAATTATCAACTGAAAATGAGAATAACAGGCCTTCTTTAATAAGATCAGTATCTGTGCTGATCTTTCATATATAATAAAATCCCATATACACAGTGAATAACAGATGGAAGCACATACACTGAAAAGAAACTGTCTCAGTATCACAGCTCACATTCATTCACAATTGTTAGAAATGCAATTAATGCAATCCCTCAAAGCAGGCTATTTAATCAGAGGAGCAGATGAGGAGGGATTTCAGAGAGAGGATTTAGGCTGCCGAAATAAAGCTGCTCTGACCACACCGAGCCATCACATGACACTTTATGATTCATCCTGTCACAAAAACCCACACAACTACATTTGCGACTACTCAGCCCACAGCAGTTTAGCCCTGCCCACTCACAATGAAGTCATAAGGAGTGTTTGAGCCCAGACTGCTTCTTGGAAAAATGCAGGGCAGCCAATCAGAACAGAGATCATTTACATAAATCAGTCTTAAAGGTACAGCAACAAAAACAGCCTGTTGAATTCTAAGGGACAAAAAGCCGTCACATGACACTTTATGATTCATCCCAATAAACCATCATAACAATAATACAATAACAAAAACCTTCCACGTGTAAAATAAATTTAAGTTCCCTTTCATCACAGTCACAACAAACCCTTTTATCCCAGAAATGGTAACTTTACAGAGGACGGAAAAAATTTAAAAGCCATTTCTGTTAGTCCAGCAGCATCAGTTTTAAAGAGCTAACTTTCCTCACCTTTTTTAAAATTAAAGAATTTGTCATAGCATGTAAATACTGGTTAAGTTCCAAAACGTATCATTTACTACTCAGCTCTGAAATCAGTGTTTTTGTGATGTCACAAAAACCCACACATTTACATTTCCAACTACTTAGCCCACAGCAGTTTAGCCCCACCTACTCACACTGTCATAAGGAGTGTTTCAGCCCAGACTGTTTCTTGAATAAGGACCAATACAGGGCAGCCAATCAGAACAGAGCTCACTTACATACATCAGTCTTAAAGGCACAGAAACAGAAACAGCCTATTGAAATCTAAGGGATAAAGAGAGTCATGTAAAAATGAACCATAACTGTTTTTGGTTCATAAAACTACACAGACATTATAAATTGGTCTTAGTGGAAAAATAATATCTAAAAAATGTAAAAATTATAACACATTAAAGAAGCCTTGATCATAGTTAAGAGAGAGGGCTAAGCCTCTACCACATCAAGTAGCATCATGCAGGCCTGAATCATCACACCTGCCTAACCGTGACACTGTATAACACACTGATCTATATACATGGACTGAAGCACGGATACAGCACTGCTGCTTTTAGCTTTGTTACGTACTTCTGTCTGTCTATTTAAGATAACAGTGTGTCTGCCGTTCTGCAGAGCTTAGTTTGAAAAGACCTTCTCCACTTTATCCTGATGATCTATCCCAGAGACCTGGACCTGTATTTATCAGATTTCTCAGAGTAAAAACGCTGATCTAGCATTTTAGCACTAAATAGAGTTACATGAACTGATGAGAGCTGATCTGATATCTGATATCTAATATCAATAAATATGGGCCTCAGTGTGTTTTTTTTCCTGAAGCAAGATTAGAGACGTCCCTATTTATGCGTGTGTAATATACATACATACATATATATATATATATATATATATATATATGTGTGTGTGTGTGTGTGTGTGGACAGACAGACAGATAGATAGGGCTGGGTAATATGACAATATAATATGTTTCCTTATAAAGAGAGTAAAATTGGTCCAGTTTAAGTGGTTTTAGTGCCAAATATTACATTAAAATCATTTTGTTCACAGTTTTTTTATGTAGCAATACTGGTTCTGTTCTGATCAGATGTCTCAGAAAATAAATGTGACAGATCATGCACTGTGAAAGCGTCTTCTCTTTGTAATTCTTCTTTTACTCCTTCTTCTTATTCTTATTATTATATTATTATTAAGAACAATTATTAATATTGTCCCATTATTCTTAATATTATTTCAGGATTCCTACTGGAATCCTCAGCTTTAGGCTTTACTGAGAAATATACATCATGATACTTCAAGATACATTTTCAAGATACACACTATAAATCACAATATTTTTTTTTAGATTTGATACCAAGGAACAGACGAAACGAACCAGCAGTCCCACATTTACTACCAAAACTACACATACAGTGACGTTTATACAGCGTTTCACCCATCACACTGCACTAACGCCAATGGCAGGACTGATTAGGCTTCTATAATGAAACGTGCAGCTGGTCAGAGCTCTTTAAATGCTGACGATGTCCACAATATGCTCAGAAAAGTGTATTGTGGCATTATTTATCACGATACAACCAAATATTGTCATATTTGCCCTCTGCTCCTACCGAGAACTCCTGCTTTGTGAAACATCCTCCTCACACATGGAGAAGAGCTCTGCAGGCAGGAGGCCACAGTGACCCCCTGAGATGGACACATGCTGACCCTGATGTCCTACATACCTTCTGCCAGCGTTTCCTCCACGGTCACCTGGTGCCGTCCCACTGTGAAATTGCGGCCGATGAAGTTCCCTCCTGCGCCACTGGACCCTCCAGATCCACCAGCGCCTCCGGAACCCGGGCCGGAACTGACCAGCTCCCTCCGAGAGTCAAAGAACTTCTTCATTGTGCAAAATGTTGTGTTATCAGGAAACAAGTAAAAATACAACCCTGTTTCTGTGCCCTGCCAGTGATGCTGTTATGGGTTGTGAATGTAAACAGATGATCTAAAGCCTCTGAGCTGAATCAGCAGGAGCTACTGCTGCATCACCAGCGGCCTGTGTTTGTACTGGAGTCCAGCAAACAACTCAAAACATAAGAGAGGCAAAAATGAGACTGCCACTGTAACGTTATTTCTGACCACTGCCATCCAACATCTGTCCCCAGCCAGCTGTTCTGAGCTAGGAGAGGCAACACTGGCGCATTTCAACAAAACACAAAATAAATAAACCGTTTGTTTGGGACCTTAAGCATGTCTCTGGGCTCTGTGTAGCTCTGTTAAACCGTTAGACACGATTTTAGCTGCTTATTCCAACTCCAATCTGAGATAAAGGTCTGTAAACTCAGCCATTCAGCATCGCTGATGCTAATGCTAGCGGTGTTTGATACAGATACAGCTCAGGCTGCAGGCAACATTTAACATGGTATATACAACATTACAGGGTAAATAATCACAAAAAAGACATACACTTTATACTAATCTAAGCGAACGTGCAGCTAACAAGCCAGCTAACGTTAATGACCCCAAATCCGCTAGCTAACCAGCTAAAGGACGGGATTTACTGAGCTAGTTAGCTAGCCAACTACCCCATGAAAATCACTCAAAATTAAAATGATATGCACAACGACCGGTTCTCACAGGTACCCAAAACTGTTAACTAAACGTTAACCTTCAAATTAAGACATTTCACCGGTTTGTAAAGTGACAGCGTGGCCAAAAACCGAAGCGAGAAATCGCAGCTAGCTCGTTAGCATTCTCAGAGGCTAACAGCAGCTAGCCTTCACAGCAAACCGGCTCCCGCTTCACATCAGACACTTATAACGTCAATGCAACGTCCAACCTGCTGATAACTTCTCTCTGTTTCAATGCAGAACAAATCAGTGAGGTGTGAGGGAGAGTTTGTGCCCTGATTTTTCTTTCTGAATCTTCTTGTTGGGCTGATGTGTTGCGGAATGGAGAGTGAAGCCGGAGTCCAGCGGGGCGCTGGAGCATCGCCGATCTACAACTCATTCCCATGAGACTTTCTGCGCAGCGGAGCGCTTGCAGATCGGCGAAAGTGAGCCGCTGTGTGTAATACGTATTAATGCACTCCAGATGTTCAGCGCAGCTTTACAGTGGGGTGGGTTCAGATATTACAGGGCAAACCGGTCCTCAGGAACCCTCCATTTCTCCCAGCCCCAAAACGTCTGAACCAAGCTTTTGGAGACACTGAATACCTGGTACAGGTGTGCTGGGAGCTGGGCTGCAGCAAAGATGTGGACTGGCTTTGGTAATGGGCATCGGTTATAGGGAACATCTAAAGCAATTATACTTATTTTATGTTCAGCTGATGCTAAAGTAGTGTATTTTGTCCTAAATGTACAGAAAGAAATATTATAACCAGTCTCAAGTTACATACGTACAATTTACTGGGAAAGAAAAGAACAAACTAAAGAATGAATAGAAAAAAAATAAAGACTTTATGCTCGATCCAGGTCCTGGAGATGTACTACCTGAAACGTTCAGATACAACACAATTGGCTCTAATGTTCATAAGCCCCTAAAGACCTCCATTACCTAGATCAGGTGTGTTGGATCAGGGTGGTAGCTCTCCAGGAGTAGGACTGATCACCCCTCACTGATCAACGACATTCGTGACCTTACTGTATTAAAAATAAATCACTCTAAACAAATTTCAACACGAACAGTGTGCATATAAATGATGTAGTAAACTATAAACAAAATAACTACATTATAAAAAACTCAAATGTTGATCTAAAACATATAAAAGCTCTATTATTTTTGTTTTATTGCATTATGTCTTTCTCATTTTTTTTCCCCACCCGTATTCAGACAGCTCCTGCCAATTTATTGGGCGGACTGCTGGAGAGTTCAGATCGCACGCAGCGGTGTGGTTGAAGCTAATCACAGCGCAGGAGGGCGGGACTTGTCTGACTACTGGTAGAGAAAAATGTCTGTCCGTTTCAATGAGGACATGAAATACGATTCAACCCACATTTAATTAAATCCAGCCTTCGGTCAGATCTTAAGATTAACAGAGCAGCTGTTGAACGCGTCGCACCAGCTGATCTAACGCAGCATCCCAAAGCACACACTTCTCTACTTCACCTACTACACTAATGAGTGAACTTCTAATGGGATATGCGCCATTTTTGCACGCTATTTAGTGAGCTAGTATGCAGTTTGGGACGCGAAATAATAACGGAACTCTCAGTCGTTTAACTTTTCAGCTTTTGTTTTTATCACTACAGCAACAAATAAAATAAAATCAAGTCAATACACTCAAATATATCAGTTAATACGCCTTAAAATTGAGATTAAAGTGTTACACAAAACGTGTTTTACTACCTTTGCTGGATTCTTTATGGATTTGTTATCTCATTACAAACAGACACAGCACTGCAAGCTGCCTACCAAAATGGCGGCAGTACAACTGTGACATCATCAGAATACTATCAATTGGCAACTCAGCAAAATTCCATGGAATTCCATTCACAACGTAAGCCCTATTCCGCACGGATTACATTTCCATGTGGTCATGGGGTGATATTCTTCTTTCACAGGTGCTCCTCTGTGATTTTATTTCCATCTGAATCGGCCCTGTCTGTGTTTTTCTGCCCCTCCTCTAAGAAAACTACAGACTGGATTACCTGCTGTTTTTCAATGAACTCTGTGCTGCTCTGATCATTTTAGTCTCATCTGTGTTCTTCCAGGCAGACGTCGCCTCGCGTTGGAGAAAAAGCTTTAGTCTCTGAGTGCACATAGCCATCCTACTTTAGACTCCACCCAGATAGTGGAAGAACACTGAATCAGTGTTGAATTACAGTTGCATTTTCTTGTTTAATGTTGATGATCACCGCGACCCAGAATGATAAGCAGTTTAGATGATGGATGGGTGGATGGATGGAACGTTGATGATGGAAAAATGACCTTCATTCTAAGTTAAACTGATCAAACGTCAGTCCCCTGGAGGAGCTGGAGCAATCTGACTCTGTTGCACTGTTTACGCATTTAAAAGTGTTTTCACTATTTGTTCTCCAAGTTTTTTTGTTGTGTTTATAGTAAAATTTCGTCAAATGTGTGGATTACGTTAATTTGTGAGATACTAGTGTCATGAGCCTAAAGACTACAAAACTGAAGACTTTTCTCCGACGAGCAAACTGCAAGTGGAATGGGACCTGCCTCATGGGTCAAACTTTATATTTAAAAGGTACCGAGTAAGTTAACTACTTAGTTTGCTTTGAGCTCTACACCCAAATCCAGCTTAGCTGACTTGTGCTCAATGCACCTTTCTAGCTAATGTTAAGTCATTAGCGTTAGCATTAGCTAGGTGCTTAGCCACCACTCCAGCACCATGAATTGCAGTTTCATGACTGTTATAACTGTTTTGTGCTGTTCAGACATGATAAATGGCAGCGGTTCATATACTTTGGGTGATGTGATTAGACAGTTTGGGTGATGTGATTAGACAGTTTGAGTGATGTGATTAGACAGTTTGAGTGATGTGAGTAGAGTGTTTGCATGATGTGATTAAACAGTTTGAGTGATGTGATTAAACAGTTTGATTGATGTGATTAGACAGTTTGGGTGATGTTATTAAACAGTTTAAGTGAACACGTGGCTCCTGGGTGCAGTACTGGAGGCAATCATCCTGCAGTGTATTCACTTCTTACTGTGTAGGTCTTTTCCACTCTGTGGTTTTGATTTCATCACTTGTTTGTGAACCTGAATACAGATGAAAAAGTTCTTTCTCTCTCTCCTTCTGTTGGTCTAGCAGTCATGCAGTTTTTGCAGCTCTGTCCTTTGTAAAAAAAAAAGGGGACCTCATGAATCACAGACTACAGAACCAGGGCCAACCGAGCTAAAGATGTTTAAAGACACTGAGCACACTTTAACACTTGTCATGACACCCCTGATGATGCTCTGACCCCAGAGGTGTTTCACTGGTCTAGAAACTGCTGACTGTGTTTTTAAGAAGTGTAATTTAAAAAACTAAAAATGTGTGTAAAATTTAACTTTAAGGGAAAATAGAGAAGCACTGTTAAAAACAACTTTAAAATACTTAAAATGTCAGCGAATACATTAAGTGTATTACACACAAGTTTAAGAAATATTATTTGTTGTTAATACAGTAATTGCATTACTGTTAATACATAAGTACAGTATTTATAGGCGTTTTGACCATCATGACCATCTTGTATTACAAATTACAAAGTCTAAAATAAATGGTCATTTATATTTAGTGGTTGTCACTTGACCTATATTGTCCAGTACACTTAAGTAGTTTGGAAGGTTACAGGTATAAAATTTACATACATAAATACATAAACATGTATTTGAGTACATCTTAGTAAATACTTAAAGTACATACTTTACTGAACCAGAACTGCAAGAGAACCGTATTCTTAAATACACTAATTATGTATTGGGACTGTATAACCTCATATACTAATCATGTGATTATAGAGCACAGTTAGTATTACAAACATACTTTAGCAACTCAGACCTTAAGAGTGGTGACAATAACACACGACTAGTATAGCTAGTTCAGATAAAATATGACAAACATGTATCAAGTACACATTAGTGATTAGTGATTTAGTACAAATTAGAGGTTCCAAAATATCATAACTTCAGGATAGAACTTTATTAGCCCTTCTTTAGCATACTTTATTACACAAAGCTCAGCAGCAGCTGTACTGCAAAGAATTATATTTTAAGAAAAGTGAGATCTTCTTATGTGTTGTCCAGCTAGTCCAGCGCGGAACAGCACAACACACACATCTTGAAGTAGAGCAACATGATATTGCTCAGGGCATTTTGTTTGGTGAGGACTTATTTCACCTTTTTCTTTAGTTCACTGCGTTTTGACGTGTGTGAACCCTCCACCTGTATACAGGTCTGCCACAAACAGCTGAACCGGTCTGGCAGAAACCAGCAGGTCTCAGTCCGCTTCAAACCGAACCCTCTCCAGTTCAGTGCTGATGGAAAACAAGGGAATCAAACAAGGGAATTCGGCTTTACTTCTCTTTTAGATGCATAACAACTGTTTTAATGACTGACTCTTTAGACTCTCAGCACGAGCTGCTGTTAAAATCAATAGACGAGCCATAAAATAATAGAGAAGAGACGCATTTGATTTCAACTCATGGATCCCGGAGCATATATTTGGTCGACCTGAGTGGTTAAACTCAAACTGATAAACTGATGACAAAGAAGCAGATAACAGGTAAAATTTATCATTATTGTTAACCGTGACAATGCTAACCCAAAAGCCCAGTGGGTGAAGTGAGATTACAAAAACGCTCAAAACTGGAGACTCTCGAGACCAAACAGTTACTCTTTTGGGAAAGCCAGTGGAGTATTTTGAGTGAAAACACGACAGACTGCAGCTCCAAATCACCTCATCTACCTCATACATTTCTATTCTTTTTCCCCCTTAAAAAATCCACAACCATGTTGTTTTTTTAACGTTTCATGGTTTTTAACATCCCTGCAAATTTTGCAAACCTACTGACAGACAGAATGGCCAATCTGATCTTTTTCAGGATTTAAGAAAAGAAAAACAAAATTCAAAAAGTAGATTTTAGTTTTCCTGTGGGAGGCTATGCTATGTAGTTATACACAGGTGGGCCTTGGGGTGGAAAAGGTTGAGAACCCCTGATATAAACAATAGTTTTATGTACAGCTCAACGTTTACGTGCCTGAAATTGCAGTATTTTGCTGATGTAAAACCTAAACAAGTCTGGTCATACATGATAAAATTTTTGACTCTCTAGTTTATCTTCTCAGCTGCACAACCAGCACCACTAACCCCACAATCACAGCTCCAAGTACAATCACCACCACCACAAAAATCCACACGGGTCCCGCAGCTCCTTTATCTGTGTCCAGAGCCAATGGGTCATCTGCAATACAAAAACATACTTTTAACTAAACACCACCATTAAAGCCAGCAGCAGATTCCTGCTCAGGCAACTCTGACGGAGCTAAAGAAGCACGTAACGTACCCTTCACTTCATCATGTCCACCTGCTGACCCCACGGTCACTGTGTAGGTGTGGATGACCTCTTTATTCCTTTTGTCCATTACAGTATAAACTCCACTATCAGATGGAGTCACTGTGCTCAGCTTAAGAACA